AGTGGCAGCAGGACGAAGCATGCGAACCGACTCATCATGTTCTTGTCCTGACTCTCAGCGTTTTCACTACGTAAGCTCGCCATTTGGCAAACAGTCTCAGAGAATATATATATATATATATATATTAAAAAATAATTAGGGAGAATTAAAAGGAAGGTGAAGCTGCAATTATCAGAGAGTGGACAATTTAAAGTCAAACCTAATTAAATACTCCAGTAATAGTAGTAGCTTTTCCCTTTCGCATTTTGGCTTTGATTATATATGTAAGGCACATAATCATATCGAACCTTTCCACGTGATATCACGAGTTCACGACCCTTCAAAAAGACATACCCTACTAAACTCACAATTTGTTTTACTAATCTAGGTGAGTTTTAGTGTAATAGACAGGTCCGATCCAATAGTGTAGAACCATCAATTTTATAATATAAAAACAAATTATGACTACGTTTTCTTAACTACATATATAAAAATATATATAGAAGTTATTTGACAAATATATATATATATATATATATTCAAACTAATATTATTAAATGTGTTTAAATAATACTACATATCAAATAGATTTTTCTTTGAACTAAGTATTATTTTTAATGAACCAGTCGTGATAGTACGCAGCTTATTCAATTTTTTTTTTTTTTTTTTTTTTGCAAAAAGCTTATTCAAATTCTTTTATACACGGTATATAAATAATGACAGATGATTAATCAGTAAGACAATCATTTTGTCGATAGAAAACATGGACAACAATTTAGATATTTCTTTTCAGATAGTAATAAACATATTATTAGTTCTTGTTTTGCCGACAAAAATTGTGTATTTGCATAACAGCATAAGTATATGTAGAGGTCATTTATGCAAATTTAGCTACTATAGTATTAAATTCTTAATTGTGTCTTTACATAACTCTTAGGTAATTTTCAGTTTATTGAGAAGGCATCGTGTTCAATTTATATGGATGATCATCTTTAATGGAGAGAGAAACTCAACCATAACGATTATGATTTGTTTGAAGAGATATCATTGGACAAACAAATGCAGAGTCATCATCATTGTGCGGGACTCTTTGACGTAGAGGTACAATACATCGATATTTGGTCCCCGGAATTGGAATGATTCCGGATCAAACGACTTGAATCGTCCTTACTCAAAACAAAATTAGCCCAAAAAGATTTGATTCAAATCCAAGGTATGAATGAGAGATAGTGTAACGATAGGTCCATCTAGGAAAACGATATGTGATGATGATGAACGATGAGAAATTGACATATTTAATTATTTTAATTGAATGGCTTGTGACTCCATCATTTCCCCCTACTTCCTACGCTTTTCCAACTTGGTGGTCTCAATACCCTCTCTATTTAAATTAAAAGAAAATCCACTATGTTGTTAACTGGTACGGTTTTTTTTCTTGTTTAATAACGAAAATATCTACTCTAGTCTCGATGAAATGATAGTATATTCGAAGTGTTTTCTATTTCGAAAAGTAATAAACACTTTCAATAATGTTTGTCAAGTCCTAAATTTCCAAACCTCTTTACAAAGAGTTTAGTTAATTGATTGAATTTAACAATTTTTCCACTTTCGGAACCATGAAAATGTGATTTTATTAAATTAAATACTTCCTCTATTAATTGTTTTAGATATTTTTTATTTATTTCAAAATATAAATGATGTTCGATATTTTATATAAATTTTAGTTTTATTGGATATTCTGCATCTAATGATATTATACCATTATTTTATAATTGGTTAAAGTAATTTTCGTTTTTCTTTTGGCAAATTGTAATTTTAGTTTATTTATTAAATGTTATTTTTTGAACAGAACTAATTTTCTTAAACTAATCAAATACAGTATGTAGTTGGACAAGACTGTCGCCACCAACTAACCAAGTCATATTTAAAATTTTGTAGTTTGAATTAAAATGAAAGAAAATTCTTCTATGAAAAATGGAAAAAGTTTTAAACTTTAAATGATAAAAGAGTATTTATGACAATATTAACTGGAAAATTAGATGAATAACCAAACAAAAATAGTTTGAAGAACGGGAAAATCATTTTTTTAATATTTTGTTTTTGCCAGAACTATATGCATGTCGTGGTCTAGTGGCAAATAATATAAGGAAAAGAGTATAAATCTTTTTGCCTTTAGTTCTCGCTATGAACTTCATAGCATGCTTTGGTAGATAAGACTGAGTTTCGACCAATGATTAACATGGTGCATGGGTTGGCCTTATCGTCCAGCCAACTCTTCTTCGGATTAGCCAAACTTGTTTGTGATGTCGAATGCTTATGTTGGCCTGGTTATAAATCAGTATACTGCTTCTTCCAACCTGGTGTCGGGTTCGGATTACCCAAATAAATAAATAAATGATCTTTTTTTTTTTCTGTTTTTTGGATTCAAAAGTATGAAACAGAAATAGATATTGCATTGCAAGTGAAAAGATTGTGATAGTTAGATACCCTATATGCCAGTGGTTTTAAATGATCAAGAGGGGTTTTTTTTTTAATGTTAAAAAACATAAATCTCATCTTATATACAAATGGAGCTATTGTACAATTCAATTAACGGTAAAAACCACATGTCTCTATACAATAGAGTATGAAATATCACTCATCAGTTACTGTTTTTTGTTAGTTGTTGTAATATCATTATAAGTTAATGTAGAAACATTATACATCTAAGATTTTAAGTTTTGAACCTATGTGATGAAAATTTTCAATAAGGAAAAAACTTACAAATTGATCAGACACAGTATTTTGAGGATGCATTAAAGTACTATGGTTTGCAAGAAGCCAATATGTAAAATAACGTTTGAAATCTTAGGCATTAACTACCCTCGGATTTTCTTCTTTGATGTTCATTCAATGTATAAGAAAGAATAAACCAACGAACTTAAAGAAAGAATCCTTCAAGATTTATCCACGCCCACTCGCAATAAATGAAGCTGATTTTGGAAAAAAAAAAAATCGGAAAGTATTATATTTTAGATGTAAAGTATTAAAATAGCTAAACAAATTTAAATACTAATTTTCTTAAAAAGTAGTATTAAAATATCTAAAAACTAAATACCAATTGTAATTATTATATCTTGATTGTAAATTTAAAAATCGAAATGTGTTATATTTTGGTTTAAAGAAATTAGATGATCGTTACGAAATAAAATTGATAGTTTTTTTTGTTGTTGTCTTTACATAACATATTAATTAGCTATTTTATGCATAAATTGTCTTTCATCTGATCAAATATCATTGGCGTATTCAGTTAATATAAGGGTATCAATCATAAATCACGTTTAAATAACAAATATAAGGGTATCAATCATAAATATTAAAATCCACTATAATAAAAAGTGTTATTATTTACAGTTTTTGAAATAGTTGATAAAATATTTTTTCTTATAATTTATAGTAATAGCATGAATACATGACTGTTGACCAAAAATGTTAATATTTCTGTTTGTAAAAAAAAATTACAAAGATAAAATTTGTAATTTTAAGTGGAAATTTTGAAAATTAAATTTAAATATTAAAAACTTTTATAATTTTATAAAACCCACGTTCTTATAAATGTTTATCTAAAATTGTCTGTTTTTCAATTTTAATTTTTAAAAGAATAACATATAATAATAAAATTATAATATTGTTTCAATAAATGTGATTTTTATGTATTCTCGATATTTAATACTAAATGAATAGTATAATTATATTTTAATTTATGTGCTATGTGCGTGTAAAATAAATATGTAGTTGTTTTGTAAGATATTGTTTTTTTATTGTTTAATTTTTGTTGGTGATTTGGTTGATAGAGTTATCATTTTTTCACTTTATTGTCTGTTTTAAGTTCGTTAATAATAATGATTAGAACTGTAGTAAGATTTCAAATTTTATTGTTCAGCTTTTTTAACGATTTAATTGATAAAATTGTTGTTTTCCACTTTTAATTGTCGTTTTTTAAATTCGTTAAAATAATGATTAAAATTATTATATAACTGATTAAAAAAATTAAATTTTTTGTTAATTTCTTTATTTTGTTATACATATAAATTATACGATTTTTAAGTAAAAAAATAAGTAATTCTTTTTAAATATCTCCAGCTTCATTGCGAAAAACAAAATGATTTACTCCTTTTATTTCATACTATTGATTATTTTAGATATTTTGTTTGTTTTCAAATATAAATTATTTTTAATATTTTATATAATTTTTATTTTTATTGGATATTGTGTATCTAATGATATTATATTATTATCCTTTGTGATTGGTTAAAGTATTTTTAGTTTATTTATCAAAGGATATGTTTTGAACAAAACTATTTTTTTTAATCTTTATATTTTTACTCAAAACAACTTATAATTTACTGTAAAATAGAGTGAGTGAGTATTATTTTTGCTAAATGTTTTCAGTGTAAATTCAAACTTCATGTCGCTACACTTTAAATTACCATTTTTTAAACCATGTTTAACTAACTAATTATTTTGGAGATTTGTTAGTATATTTAATTCTTTTTCTAAGCAAGAAGTAGAATCGCTCATATTTTTTTTAAAAATATCTTATTATGATTTTTAAAATTTTAAATACTATATTAATAAAAAGGTTCAATGGTTCTAAACAAATTTTATATTTAAATATTTTGAGAATTCACTTTATTTTTATAAATTATGGATGCATAGTTTTTCAGAAGTTCATCATAGTGTCAGTAAAAAAAAGTTTCAATCACTACTGTACGCACTCCTTACAATAGATATTCTTGAATATTCTTTAAATATTGTTTTATTTTTGAAAGATTTCTTGCTATTTATTGCTATTTTTCTTTAAGGTATATTTACTTACAAATTAATTTGATTTTCCATAAAAGTACAATATAGTTGACCCCAATGGGTAAATAATAAACTCCTTTTGAGCAAAACAAGTACATAATTCCAAGTTCAAAATCTTTTCATTCTAAAAGCTGACTACACCAATATTTGTTTTTTTTTTCTATTATAAAGAAGTTTAATAGTAATAAAATAAGAAAAATCGCTTTCCTGCTATAAATACATTCTCCAGAAGTACGCTCTAATCATTAAACACTGTACAAACGAAACCAAAAAAAAGAAGAAGAAGAAGAAGAAGAAAAAATGGTGAAATTGGAGAACTCGAAGAACATCGCCATGTCCGACTCCATCATCAACCTTGATCAGTACGTTTTCTAAATCTCCAGAAAACCCCTAACCGCATTGCAAGATCATCGGCTCCAAAATAAAATATAAAATAACAAAATCTCCGTTTTTCACTAACGACTCAGTTTCTTATAATTGTTTTTTTTAATAATTTATTGCAGTGGAGATCCAACGGCGTACGAAGATTTCTGGAGGAAGACTGGTGACAGGTGTACGGTGACGATACGTGCTTGGGATCTGATGAGTTACTTCAGCGACGTGAACTACCTCTGTTGGTTCCTCGAGCGGGAGCTAGCGGAAGCGATCAAGGAGTTGCACGGTGCGGTCGGAAACGCAGCGACGGAGGATCGATACATCGTGGTTGGGACAGGTTCGACGCAGCTTTGTCAAGCGGCCGTCCACGCACTATCATCACTTGCTGGGACCCAGCCGGTCAGTGTCGTAGCCGCTGCTCCATATTACTCCGTAAGCCCCCACCACTAACTAAACTCTTCTTCCTCCTCGTATCTTTTTTTTCGTCTTTTAATTATTTAAATCTTCACTTTAATCCGTTGACATCAATTTTAATTTACATTATTTAATTTTGAGCACTAAGGACGGTTTTTTTTTTGCAACTAACAAATTATGTTAATCAACCGATTTTTTAGCTAGCAGTGACGGATTTTTTTATAAAATTCCAGTAGGATATTGGATCAAGTCCAGATCTATCTTGGGTCCTCATTTTTTGTTTCATTTTTTGTTAAATTAAAAGTTTTCTAATATTCTCCTCACTGGAAATTAGCAGATTTTGTTAAATAAAAATAAATTAGGAGATTTTTGACGGTTTTTTCTGGTGTTGCTTTGGATCTATCTTATAAACCCGACAAAGAAGCAATTTTTACTTATATAGGAGGTCATATGTTACATAATTAACATTAAAGAAAAAAACACTAGAGAAGTATTTTTGACATTTACATAAAATAAAACTTTGAAAAAGATTCATTAGGGGTTTGGTCTTATTCTATGGTTTTCTAACTTTAATTTTATCTAAAATCCTAAGTCATTTTTTTTTAATAAAAAGGGTTGATTCGATGTAAAGATATCTCGTTAGTAAACAGCAAATATCGGAGATCTAAAAGACACAGTGACAGACATGTTTCTCGAACACAACACAACACACCCATCAATAATTTTTTTCTTTATGATTTAACAATTTACAAAAACACTTTTCCCCTCCTTACATACATGTGTTGTCGATTCATGTGCAAAGACATAAGTAACATGCATGTGTCCCCGCTTTTGTTTCGCATTTACCGAAAACCATTCCTCTCTTATTTCAATTTTGGAGAATATTAAAAAAACAAGGACTAATATTCATTTCATTTTTTGAATTTGGAACAGACGTATGTGGAGGAGACGACGTATGTTCGGTCGGGTATGTACAAGTGGGAAGGAGACGCGTGGCGTTTCGACAAGAAAGGATCGTACATCGAGCTGGTGACGTCACCCAACAATCCAGATGGAACCATCAGAGAGACGGTGGTGAACCGTCCAGACGACGACGAAGCCAAAGTGATCCATGACTATGCCTATTACTGGCCCCACTACACTCCCATCACTCGCCGTCAGGACAATGACATCATGCTCTTCACTTTCTCCAAGATCACAGGCCACGCTGGGTCCCGCATCGGGTCTGATATTCTTTCATTTTCCCTTTGTTTCACTATATACGTAACATGCTAGAATTTGAACGTTATTAGATTTTATGAACATGCTTTTGCTTTTAGGTAATACAAGAAAGTTATTAAAATTAAGTAATGGGTTTAAATTTTGTTGGATGATGAAGGTGGGCATTGGTAAAGGACAAGGAGGTAGCAAAGAAGATGGTTGAGTATATAATAGTGAATTCCATTGGTGTGTCTAAGGAGTCACAGATTCGAGCCGCTAAGATCCTCAAAGTTCTTGCAGAGACTTGTAAGAGTGAGACCGAGAGTTTCTTCGAGTATGGTCGTGAGATGATGAAGAACCGATGGGAGAAGCTTCGTGAAGTGGTGAAAGAGAGCGATGTCTTCACTCTTCCCAAGTACCCTGAAGCCTATTGCAACTTTTTTGGCAAATCACTCGAATCTTACCCTGGTAAAATTAAATAACTATTTACTAAACGACAAATGTTGTTGTAACGGTTGTATTTTTTTGTTTTGTTGTAAATTGAATAAGACGTAACGTAACGGTTGGTGTTTTTTTAATTTTGGTTACAGCGTTTGCGTGGATAGGGACGAAAGAGGAGACGGATCTGGTAAGTGATTTGAGGAGACAGAAGGTTATGAGCAGAGCAGGAGAACGTTGTGGTTCTGACAAGAAGCATGTCCGAGTCAGTATGCTTAGTCGTGAAGATGTTTTCAATGTCTTTCTCGAGAGACTCGCCAACATGAAGCTCAATAAAAGCATTGATGAACATTAAGCTTCCTTGTTTAATTATTAAAGAAAAGTCTCCTAATATATTGCTAATGGTTTATCAAGAAGCCTTAATAGTATAATTAAGGCATTTTTAGTTTCTTAGCTTTACCCTAAAGTTATCTATAATATGAAGGCTAATATAGCTTATGGTTATCAAAAAGTCTTATTATTAAGGCCTTTTTAGTTTATTAGCTTTACCCTAAAGTTTATCTATGATATGTAGAAACAATAAAAGGTTCTCTCTATAGTTTATTAGCTTTACCCCAAAGTTTATCTATGATATGTAGAAACAATAAAAGGTTCTCTCTATATATAATATATGGGCTTTTCAATATATGTGAACTATATATTCCCTCCTTTCTTAATTATTTGATTTTTTTGGATTTTTATTTTATTTCTAAAATATCAATGTTCTACACAATATTCAATATATTTTGTTTTATAAAAAGGAAAAATATAATCTTATTGGGTATAGAATAATATATAAAATTGAAAAGTAAACAAAAATGATTCCAAAAAGTAATTAATGATTGTTTCTTAACATGTGTGAGAAATCTAAAAAATCAAACAATTAGAAACGAAGAGAGTATATTACAAAAACTCATCCAAATATTTGAACTGAATCCTATTGAAAATTTAAAAATCGATCATCTATATTTGTTACGGTTAAATCTACACGGAATATATACTTATCAGCTATGTATCACAAAGTAAATATTATAACTTTTTGCATCTCTGATTTATTTAGGTTTAATAATCATATTATTAATTAAAAAATTGATAGTTATGATGGTTGATTACTTTTTACCCTTTATATAAAAAAACTTTATTTACTCTTAATAAAATTAACAAATTAATATAATCTAATTTTTAATAGATTTTTGTTTTTTTCTAAATTTAGATTTCCAAATTTAAATTTATATTATAAAAATATTCAGTTTACTAAAAAAAACTTCTAGCATAAATCACAAAAAATCCTAATTATTTCCTTAAACTAATATTGATTTGATTGTTTAACCTACTAATATTTTTGACTAACCTAATTGATTTATGCGACAACAAGTAAAATCTTAAATCTTTTAATTTTTTTTTCTATCAATAGCCTCAATTCTTTAAATCTTTTAAACTCTATATATATTAATTACTGTTAAGCTGATACGAAACAATAATCTTTTGGTTTTGATCATTTTGTATTGCTATGTTTTTTTATGCAAACTTTGAATTTCATTAATTTATCAATTTACATCAAAAGAAAAAAAATATGCATTTTACCAAAAAAAAATATTTAACAAATACAACAAAGCATAATATAAAAAATATTAGAAAATAAAATATAAATAATATATTTGACTTTGTTGAAAGTAAAGAAAGACAAAAGTGATAATAAAAGGGAGGTATTTAGGAATATGTCCTCTCTCTTCTTTCTCATATTCTCCTTTGCCTTGATCGAACTCATGAGGTGGAGGATGAAATCCAACAAACCAAATGAGCTACATGATCAGACGCTGATTCTGTTTAACTTCTAGTTATTTATACAGTCTTTTCTCTTTTCTTTGAGTAAACACAAAAACTCTTTTAAGGAATAAAGAGAAAGAAAGCAAGAGGGTTCAAGATAAAAAAAGGTAATGGGCCTTGACGTAAAAGAGAGCAATTAGAAGGAACCGGACCTGTATAGCCCAGCACCATTCTTCACAAGCAGAATTTTTCTTCTTCATGGGGTTCCTTGTCTTGAGATCAATTAGGCTTTTATCAATTCAATTATCTCACACTCCTCAAACAACCTCATGTAATATGCCCAATAGCCTTGTAACCAGCTGAAAAAAAAAAAAAGACTATTAGAGCAACAAAACAATGAAGAAAACTATTTAGAAAGTGTGTTTTTTTTTTTTTGGTCAACTAGAAAGTGTGCTTAGAAGTTAACATTGTAGAATGAAAGTGTGTTTTTGACCATTTCAACAGAATTACCGCCGTCTCGCCGCCGATTAAGCACCGTGTCTCCGTCGCCGTTTAGTGAATCTACCGTCGTCACCGTGACTTTCCTTAATTCCCCCTTCCTTTTGGTGGGTCCCAAAAAATCACACTACTGTATTTTTTATTAGCAACTTGGTCTGATTGAAATTGCTGTAATAAAAAAATGTATTTTACGGTTTATACCGTCATCGTCATCTGAGAAACGCCACACCGAGATAACAGAGGAAAATCCGATGAGAGCCCTGCTTAATCCCGAATCTTCCTTCTCTCTCTCTTCGACCTCTTCGTTTCAGATCAAGAGGTCTCTCCACCTGGACCCATCGAGCTCTTCATGCCTCCGGTTTCCTTTAACCGGTTGCAACGGCCGTCCCTGGCGGCGGAAGCTCGCTGGTAGTTTGAAGATAAAGGCAGTGTTGGACTCCGCAATGATGGAGCAGTTAGGGCTCAAGGACTCCGATATCAAGAACCCGGCGATTTCTTCCACGTACCGGAGGTCGTCGATTCCGAAGGCAAACCTTACCGTTCTTGATGCCCAAGCTAGGGTTTGCACTGGTCCGACCCAGACAAGACCCCTTACCGAAGAACAGGCTTTTAAGGTGTTTGATACGATATTAAGATCAGGTAAAGCATCTCTTTCTCCAATTTTGACTTAATCGATTGTCAAAGGACCGATGGTGATGGATTCCAATTTGTCTTTTTAGTTCCAAAGCGTAAGCTTTTACAAGTTTCAATCTTTTACAAATTTCAATCTTCTAAAAGTTTGTTAAATTTCGTGTTCGTATGATTTAGAATTTAAGCTAGATTGTTTGAATACTCAAGTTAGTATGTATCATTTGGGTACGCTTCTTCGTTCTTGGGTAGCAATTTTGTTTTGTTGAATTGGCTCTATAGAGTTCTTGACTAGTCTCACTGGGATGCAGCTAGAGGTGAGCTAAAAGACGAGGAACCTGTTTCAAAAGCTCAACTTGGTGCGTTTTTCGCTGGAATGACAATCCGTGCAAATGCATTTCCGGAGGAAACTCAATGGAGTGAAGGCGAAAAGCGTGCGATGGATGTATTTTGGCCGCTCCTGGTTCGAGCATTACCTCCTGATGTGCTCTTCATTGCCGACCCTGAAGGCTCTCTTTTAGGCACGGGATCCTCGGTTGGACCAACTTTTGTTGGCAACGAAGCTAGAGAGATGAGACTGGTCGGTGCTCTAAGAGAGGTTTTGGCTGGAGGTCACCTTGGGTACGAGGAGGTCAAGGGTGTCTTAAGAGACGTTCTTCCGCTTGCGACAGAAGGTAGCTTGACCTCGGGGGTAAGCGAGTCGTTGCTTTCGGCGTTTTTGATTGGTCAGCGTATGAACAGAGAGACAGACCGAGAGCTTAAAGCGTACTGCCTTGCATTCGATGACGAACTTGGTAAAACATTCTCTTGATGATAGTTTCAGGCGAGGATGCAAAGTTCTGACTTGAGCGTTAAAGCATCTTTCGACTAAATTTCAGGGGCTCCTCCAGTTGCTGATGTCAAATCTTTAACACATTACGGCGAGCCTTATGATGGGAATACTCGATTCTTTCGAAGCACTCTATTTGTGGCTGCAGTTAGAGCCTGCTATGGTGAATCTTCAGTGCTCCATGGCGTTGAATGGATGCCTCCAAAGGTATTAATCTCTCAAAAAAATTAATCTTTTTTTCCTGTATCACCAGTGTGATGATGCTTTCGAGGATTTTGTTTTAGTTTTTTTTTTTTTATCATTAACTTTCCAGCTTTTGCTATCTCTTCAGGCGGGTGTGACTGAGGAACAAATGCTGAAGTTTATGGGGGCAAACACAAGCTTGTCTGTGCAGCAGGCGAAAGAACTCATCGAGGTGCCTACAATAGTTTTCTCTTTTTATGTCTATCTCTCTCTCTCTTGCCAGCCTACTTTTATGGGTTTACTTGCTCTATAATATCATGTTTGTTTCTTTTTCCAGGACGAGAAGGCTGGATTTGCGTATCTTAGTCTACGGGAAGCTCGGCCGTCTTTGTATGAAATCTGAGAAACATTTTGTTGACACATTCTGTCATTTATCCTACAGGTTTATTGATAGTACTGTCTGATGTCTGCAGATATTCTCTAGTTGGAATGAGGGAGCATATAAAGAAGCGGCCTCCTCTGGCAACAACGGAGAAAGTTCAGCAATTTGTGAGGGTAAGGGATCTCTCACCGCCTTAGATACTCCATGTGATTCGATGTTATATAGCTTTTGATAATTTAAGACAAGTTTTAAGGGGAAAAAATTATATCATAGCGCTTGAGAGAAACGTTTCATGGACTTATGTTTGCACTGCAGGCGACAGGGAAGGAAGCAATTGTGGCTGGGTTTTACCACGAAGGCTACGAAGAGCCTCTCTTAATGCTTATGAGACGGAGAGGTGTCCACTCTGGTTTGGTGATTAAGGTTGACTCTCTTTGTTTTGTCATCAAGTATATATACTGATGAGCTACTGCACCACATGAATATAGAATTAGGACAATAGGACCTGACATCTGTTAGAATCTCGTCCTACGGTATGATTTTAAGGGTAAAAATTAAGGTTTCTGTTGGTAATGCAGGGCGAGGAAGGGGCCCTCTCAATGACAACTAGGGTGAGAGCAGCAAGTGCATCGAAAGGGTTTCCAGTTAACTACTGTTCTGGTTTTCGTTCACTGAGTTCAGGCACGGCTCTAGAAGCTGATGGTGAGAATACCTAAAATATCAAACTAATTTCGTATTTGGTTGGCATTGAGTCTTGATGTACCATTTGTGCCCTGGTGATCGAAGTTTTTGGGTGATTAGCCATTGTAGATTGTTACTTGAGTGGTAGGATATGTCTTCGGATACATGAGTATTGCTTATGGTTAAACTGACTGTTACAATTGTAGGGGTCTCGAGGCAGAGTTTCAATCTCGAGGTGGATGCGAGAGACTATGGCTTTGAACCAACCGAAACACCACGAACTGATCGTTCGGTAAAGCCTCTTGAAACATGTTTGTTTAACACTATTAAGTCAGGACTCAATGGTGCCGATCCCACAAAAAAAAGAAAACTTGATATTCTTTTTGGTTGGATTTACAGGTGTCGAAGAACATAGAGCTTGGTTTGGCAGCGCTTAGTGGTGAGAAAGGCGCGGCGTATGATAGAATCGTTCTAAATGCTGGGATTGTGGATCATTTGTTGGGATGTGAAGGTGCAGATGATGTAGCTGTCGCTATGGAGAGAGCCAAGGAAGCTATTGATAGTGGGAAGGCTCTGAAGAAACTTTTGAATTACATAGAGATCTCACGCAAGATGAAATAGTTCCCAACAATCTGGAGTCTTGACAAAACATACACTGAGTATAGAAAGCTTACGCCTTCTTTTGGTCTTCTTCTTTTTGTGGAAAAACTCTCTATTGTTGTTGTTGAAAACTGAGTGGGACACATAACACAATGCTTGTGGTGGCTCTCTGTTGATAGCTGTTGAATCGCATGTACAGATTCTGGAGAAAAAATTGGTTATTTTTAATTTTGTTTTGAGTGATTCACAGTTCATCTTCCCACTCCCACACTCATGTTAAGTGGATTTATTATGATCCTTATTCAAATCGAGCATTAGTCCCATCAAAGATTCGGATTAAGACATTCTTTGTCTTGAGGACATTGAGAAAGAAACAAAAGAGTCTGTGTCCGAGAGAATGACATTATGAACCAAATCATGTGAAGATTCTTTAGGTTGCAAAAGAACAGAGTCCACAAGAATTCTCACTTTCCGTAATGAGATGTAGCTATAGAAAATCGATTCGCAAAAAGTTACAAATGACTTTTGTTTGGTTTCTGATAAAAAAAACAAGTTATTTGGCCGAATCCAGTGGCTATGCTGCTTCGTCTTTTTGCGCTCTCCTAATGCCACATGATCTGATCTGACGAGTGTCCAAATTCACGTCAGACACACAATTGTAATCTGCTGAAACGTTTATATATATATTTTTAATTTCACATAAAAACACTTCAAAAGTCTTTCTTGCTGTGCTGAACTTTGGAGGTGACGACACTGAGTCGAAGGTGAGTCGAACATTGACCGAAATATTAAATACTTTTCGATTGATAATATTTTTTCTGATCCGATTTCGAAAACCCATTTGAAAAGGCGTCGCCTTTAACTTTTCTTGTAGTTTGAGGCGATTTTGGAGTTTATTCTCTGGATTTTGAGTTGTGGGGTTCACTCTCTACTTTGGTTTGTACTCGTTCGAATCTAGTGGGTTAGTGATGACTTTCTGCGTCTTTTTTCACTGTTTTCTGTATGGGAATAAGTTTATGGCATGTTCTCTCGTTATAGATTCGAGAAAACCCCATCTTTTATGATCGACTCAAAAGTCAAATCTCGTTACTGACACGCTTAGGTCCATTGATAAAGGGTTTAGCTCCACTTCACTGTTTTGATTAGTCTTTTGAAACTCGATTATGACACTTGTCGTTTGAATTTCTGCTGGTGATGGCTTCACCAAGTTGTTATTTTTGTTGTACAAGGTGTTGATAAGCTTGAAGTGAGCAGAGCTTTTTTGCCTTTAGCTTGGAAATTAAAGTCCGGAAGAAATGTCTCTAAAGGCATTAGACTACGAGTCACTGAATGAAAACGTGAAGAATTGTCAGTATGCAGTCAGAGGCGAACTCTATCTTCGTGCTTCTGAGCTTCAGAAAGAAGGCAAAAAGGTAAAAGATTTGTCATGCGTTTTGCAAAACTATATGAGCTTCACTTGCTCTTATTTAACCTCGGGATATGAGGAATGTCTTACATTTACAGATTATTTTCACAAATGTTGGAAACCCACATGCTTTGGGACAGAAGCCTCTGACATTTCCTCGTCAGGTATATATATATGCAAGTCTGATACTTTCTTGTTCGCTACTAGATTTAAGCCTAAACGGATTTAGGGAAACCAATGCAGGTGGTTGCTCTATGCCAAGCTCCATTTCTGCTAGATAACCCAAACATTGGGATGATATTCCCAGCAGATGCTATTGCAAGAGCTAAGCATTATCTTTCCTTGACCTCTGGTGGTCTTGGTATGTCTTTGTTTTGGAGAACTTAGCAGCTAACTATTATAGGTTTATATTGGCTTAGATTTGTATAAGTAAACACAAATGGGGTTTAATTGTTAACTAGGTGCTTACAGTGACTCAAGAGGCCTTCCTGGAGTTCGGAAAGAAGTTGCTGAGTTCATTGAACGGCGTGATGGATATCCAAGGTCATTGCTTCATTTTGTTTGTGTCGCAATTTGCTGTAAAACAACACTATTCTGATTCATTCTGCTTCTTATCTTGAAAACCACAGTGATCCAGAACTCATATTTCTAACTGATGGAGCTAGCAAAGGTGTGATGCAGATCTTGAATTGTATCATACGCAATCAGAAAGACGGGGTAATGAATCTTAACTAGCTTGTTCCTTTATCTAAGGTTTATGCGCACGCATGTTGAGCTATTTTTTTTGGTGGTATCAGTAATTGGCTCATATTAATGTTTCATCAAAGCCAAATGAGATATAGGGCATGGTTGTAACTGTATATGCTATGATCCCACATCAACTGTATGGGTTTAGGCTTGGTTTGTAGTATCATCTTGGTCACAGGTTTTGTTGTTTGGCAGATTCTGGTTCCAGTTCCACAGTATCCACTCTACTCAGCGACCATATCTCTGTTAGGTGGCACTCTTGTTCCTTACTATCTCGAAGAGACTGACAACTGGGGACTTGATGTTAACAACCTTCGTCAATCTGTTGCTCAGGCTCGCTCTCAAGGAATAACAGTGAGTAAATTCTCCCACTCTTCCTCCTCGAAACTGTTGATGCGTGGAGACTTATTATTGTTCATGACACAAATGGTTGATGCAGGTAAGGGCAATGGTGATAATCAACCCCGGAAACCCAACTGGTCAGTGTCTTAGCGAGGCTAACTTAAGAGAGATCTTGCGGTTCTGTTGTGATGAGAGATTGGTTCTTCTTGGAGACGAAGTGTATCAGCAAAACATATACCAAGATGAGCGACCCTTTATCAGTTCCAAGAAGGTAAATCATTCTTTTTTTATCTAACCTATTGTGAAATTGCTTTGAGTTCATCACTCTCTGGAACTTCCGTGTGACTGATTCTCTTTGTTCTAAAGGTTTTGATGGATATGGGAACACCCATCAGCAAGGAAGTTCAGCTCATATCGTTCCACACCGTTTCTAAAGGTTATTGGGGAGAATGTGGGCAACGAGGTGGTTACTTTGAGATGACGAATATCCCTCCCAGGGTTTGTACTTTATAACCGATCTTCTTTCTTTTGAAATGATTTGTAGTTTCAAGTGATTACTTAAGAGTTTTATGATTTCTGGTAATGCAGACCGTTGAGGAGATATACAAGGTTGCATCTATAGCTCTCAGTCCCAACGTCTCTGCGCAGATATTTGTAAGTTCTTTCCTTATTTTTCTTAGTAACGAAAGTGGTTTCATAGCTAAAAGTGATGATTTTTTTGTCTTTTGTGCAGATGGGTTTAATGGTTAGCCCACCAAAGCCTGGAGACATTTCTTATGACCAATTTGTTCGTGAGAGGTATGTTTCTTCTACTCTTAAGTAAACACGCTTTGATGAAGGATCAAAATCTCAGAACTTCACCGGAACCTTGTTTAACAGCAAGGGAATATTAGAATCGCTGAGAAGAAGAGCGAGGATCATGACTGATGGATTCAACAGCTGCAAAAACGTAGTATGCAACTTCACGGAAGGTGCTATGTACTCGTTTCCTCAAATAAAGCTGCCGTCGAAAGCAATCCAAGCGGCGAAACAAGCCGGAAAAGTCCCTGACGTTTTCTACTGCCTTAAGCTCTTAGAAGCCACAGGAATCTCCACAGTTCCTGGCTCTGGATTTGGACAGAAAGAAGGGTGAGTGAAAAAACAAAACGTATTCATCTTTCTTGCAACCTCTTTTGAGCTCGTTTTTGTTTTGTTTTCAGGGTGTTTCATCTGAGGACAACGATTCTTCCTGCGGAAGAAGAGATGCCAGAGATTATGGATAGTTTCAAGAAGTTCAACGATGAGTTCATGTCTCAGTACGGTGATAACTTTGGTTACTCAAGAATGTGAGAAGAAAGGACTCGAGAACACTTCCTTCTTCTTTCCACTCTCTTGAAAAGCTATAAGCCAATGGTCCTATACTCTGTAAAACGCTTCTTATGCTTTTGAAAACCTTTGATGTATCTATTGGAATCTATTTGGAAAAACAAACACAACATAATAACCATCTCAATTTCATCTCTATTATTGTGAAAGTAGGCAGAGAGATTAAAATGTTCTGTTAAAGTACATTTATTCAAGTTTTTGGTAGATAAAGGAATATTCTGTATATATGAAAATAAAAAGTTTAGCCAAAAAGTATAATATTTTACGTGAAACAGTAGTATCAAAATATCAACTTGATTATTGTTTTTATTGAAGCTAGATATTAAATAATTATCCAATTATTAGGTGGAGAAGAGTTTCAAAATTTCGTCATAGTTTTTTTTATAGATCGTGATAATTACCAATTTTTTTTATTTTCCATTCGCATTATAAAATGAAGGGATATAATTAAACAAAGTATAGCACTTATCCAATCTTTGATTAAATAAAGTTTCTACACGGGAGAATAAAAGTAATCACCGATTCACCGTTATATATTATAAAACCAATAATGATAAGAAAAAAAGAGTCCCCACCAGATCAAATATTCCAAAACTCTTTCTTCTTTGCGTGTTTTCTTTTTGGTATTTTCTCGCCAAAGCTTCCACAGAGCGAATATAGAAGAATTAAAGAAGTCCCTAACTCCAAACCTTCTCTTCTTTTTCCATTTCCGAGATAAAAGAAATAATCCTTTCCTTTCCTTTTTTTTTCCCGAGAAAACTGAAGAAAACAACCTTTCCCGCCCAAAAGTTTCATCTTTTCTATTTCTTAGCTAGATGCAAAAATACCAGCTATATAACTTAACAAAGACCCTTTCTTTTTCTCTTTGTTTTAGGTCAAAAAGTTTTCTTTTCCTTTATTGATCTTTCTGTTCAATATTTTCGGATCGCGCCATGGATATTCCTGGAAAGTCGCTGAAAGTGAAGATTCCGGTGCAAGCTCCGATCAATTCGAAGCCGGAGAAAAAAGAAGAGGATGAAGGAGAAGAAGATGGATTCACAACTCCAAAGGGGGCTCAATTCAGGATTCCGCCGCAGCTTGAGTGTCCTCCGGCACCGGGTCCTCGCATCAACCGGAAGAAGATCGACAAACGCCGGAAAAGATCCACCGGAAGGAGGCTTGTCTCCATCAACGTTCAAGAGTTGGATACGGTCTTCGCAGCTTGCGAAGACACATACATAGTTGCAGAAGATTCTTAATACATATTAATTAGCATTTTAGTGAGTTCGTTAATGCCTTAATTTGCAGGGTTTTGTTTTTTACTTTTTAGTTACGGTTTTATCTTTATTTTTTTTTTAACACTTGTAACACAATTATTTGGACTACCATCGAAATATAATAATAGATGATGAAGCCACTTAGATTTTATACGCTTTCCATACAAGTCCGACAAAAATGCAATCGGTGACCAATTGATAAAATCCTTTGAAAATGCAGTGAATCCTTTGGTTTTGTTCGTAGCTAACATTAGAACCAAATAAAATTCTTAAATTTTGTAGCTAAGTTTTAATAAATTAAGTTTACAAATTTTTATTGTTTATTATGAACAGATTTAACTGAAGAAAAAACATAATTATAGAAAACTATTTCAATCTGCTAAAATGAGCTTGCACCCAAAATTAATATTCTTTCCACGTTTTAGATAATGTTTTAGAGATGTGCATACAGATTAAAAAGTTATTTAATTATTTATATTTTCAAAATAAAATATATCTTTTATCAATTTCAAAACAATTCAACCAAAACAAAAATAGAATTAAAAATCCAAACAGCAAAAACAATAAAAACATAATTAATTTTTATAGAATTTTTAAAAAAAAATTAAATATATCAGAATAAAAAATAAACTGTAAAACATCTTCTAAAGTAATAACTTGGTCAACCACTTAGATCATACTTTTCTTTAATAAACAAATCTTATAATTGTGACCGAATAAAGCTTCTGATAGAAGCTTTTAATGTTGGAGAAAAAAAAAATTCAAACTAGGGAAAGTTGACCCACACGGGCACACAACAACAGAGGTCTATATCATGTTTGGTAATGGTGAGATAATTGAATAGTCCGTTTCGAGTTGAATAGAATCCTATGCATTACAACGTCAATAATTTCATACTCTAATCATCTAATGTTATTTAATTTCATATGAGGTCATACATATATTTGGCTTTTTAGTAGATTTACAAATCACATTTTTTCCCCCGAGATATTGTAGTTTCATGTGCAAGTAACAGTGTCAAATTCGATTTTAGGTAATAGGAAACTTTTAGACAATCACATCTTGTAGTTCCTTTTTTAGACCACACTTTTGATAAAATAGTGTGAATAGCTAACAAGTTAACATACACACACGAGAAAAGTATTTCAAAATTAATATAAAATAACGTGAACATTACAGAATTGCATAACGATGCAAAAAAAAAACAATAGTGAAAAAACATCACCATCAACTATGAAAACGCCATTGGATCTCCGTCACCGCCATGTCACCACTGACGATAAATCAGCCTATGCTGGACCTATTATTTATTTATTTTTCTAAATTAAATTTTATATATTTAAAATTAAAGAAATTAGGTCGTATGACCATATAAACAATCTAAATTTATCAAATAATCATAATATATAGATGCTATGATATTCTCTATATATTTTACAATATATATAAAAATATCATTTCTCTTTTATCCTCTTCTCCTCCATTCTTTTCATCGCTTCATTCCTTTCACTGTTTTTCTTTCCACTTCTCCTCCTTTTCCCCTCTCCTCTCTTTCCCTCATCTTCTTTTTTCTTCCGTCTTCTTCTTTCTATTTTTCTCTTTACAACTAATTTTTTCTATTAATACTATATCAAATGACTACTATTCTATAAGATTAATATATAGTATAGTACAAAATATAATATAATATAAAATTATATTCGACAATTGATTGTAGGATATAGTTAGTTTACAAATTATTCAAATAGTATAACTATATTCTTATATTTTTTGTTATTATGGTTATACAGTAAATTAAGCCTTAAAATTACAATGATTTTTACGAAGATATTTTTCTATGTATATAAAATAAGGTGCACACACGAGAAATTGCAGGCCCAGCCCAAAAACAAAATATATTTGATAGATGGTCTTCCTATACGAATTTTCTTGGCGGTTTAAGTATTCCACGTGTCAGATGTTCATCACATGGATTAACTGTTTCTCATCGCATAGCCGCTCGATCCTCGTACCTCGTAAATAAATAAATAAAATGCATAAAAGAAATTACTCGTACGCGGAAAAGAAAAAGAAAAAAAAAGCACCAAAGAGAAGAATCAGTTTTACTTGCCCCTCTTGGCTCACGCGGAAATCGACGGTTGTCTTCGCCGGTTAAGATGAAGCAGAGAACATGGCCGTGTAAATCCGAAGGATCTCGATTCACCTCCTTGCCGTTTTCGAAACCCAACGACAAGGAAAAGCGCAGTAGATTTTCCATTAGAGGAACGGCCAAGTCAAGCTCAAGGTCCTCTTCACATCCACCGTCGAACGAGGTAGCCGATGCCGGCGGGGATTTCTCGATGCTTCCGTTCGATATTCTGACGAAAATCGCGGCGCCGTTAAGTTTTCCGAACCTCCAGGCGGCGTCGTCGGTTTGCAAGTCGTGGAGAGACGCGCTCCAGCCGCTGAGGGAATCGATGGCGCTGCTTAAGTGGGGCAAACGGTTCAAGCACGGACGAGGAGGCGTGCGGGCGAACCTCGACAAGGCACTGGATTCGTTTCTGAAAGCGGCCGCTCGTGGATCCACGCTCGCCATGGTCGACGCAGGGCTCGTGTATTGGGAAAGGGGAGAGAAGGAGAAAGCGGTGAATCTATATCGGAAAGCTGCTGAGCTTGGTGATGCTGTTGGTCAATGTAATTTGGGGATTTCTTATCTTCAAGGTAAACCTTAAGCTCCATGGCTGTAACGGATAGCGATTCGAGTTGTTTAGAGTTGAAATTTTTTCCGGGATTGTGGTATTTAGAATCTGCGATTGAACGAATCGGTGAAGCATTTTTCTGAGAAATTGCTTGGATTTTAACTGCAGCTCAACCTTCAAACCCGAAGGAAGCGATGAAATGGTTGAAACAATCTGCAGAAAACGGCTATGTTCGAGCACAATATCAGCTAGCTCTTTGTTTACACCAGTCTCAGGTTGTGCAACCCAATATGCAAGAAGCTGTATGTGCCTTTCTCTCATCCTTTTTGTTCATGCTTATAGTGGGTCCTTCGTGTTGATGATAGCTGCACACACTCATGAGAAAACAGATACATGTGCTTTGTTCATTTGTGGAAATGTTTTGACTTTGTCTCTTTTTCGTCTCCAGACGAGATGGTACCTAAAGGCAGCAGAAGGTGGGTATGCGCGAGCAATGTATAACGTATCGCTGTGTTACTCGGTTGGGCAAGGCGTACCACAAAACCGCAAGCTAGCAAGAAAATGGATGAAACGAGCAGCTGATCAAGGCCACAGTAAAGCCCAGTTTGAACACGGCCTTACTCTGTTTTCTGTAAGCATCTCTTATCTCTCACACCTCAACTCAACTTTTCTCTGAGTCGACTAGATGAACATTGGGAGATTTTAAGTTGATTCGGGTTTTAGAGTATGTTAAGGAGGAGTTGGAGATTGAAAGTGATGAATGTAGAAATTCGATGTGCAGGAAGGGGCGATGCTGAAGTCTGTACTCTACTTAGAACTCGCTGAACGTGGTGGCGAAACAGCTGCTACTCACGTCAAGGAAGTTGTACAACATCGGCTTTCTGCAAATTCTCGTGCTCATGGCTTGCCATGAAACGATGGGCGTGCGTAAGCCAGCTACTCGCCGAGCCCCATCTACGTTTTGAGTACAGTGAGATCAAAGTAAATTATTGACTCATTTTACGTTTTCTCTTTAACTCAAATTGCTCCTCTTTTGCTCACACAATAGTTTATGATCAGAGAATGATTTGTACCAAAGTATCAATTAACACACACAGTTTAATATTTAAGCACAGCTAATGCAACCCCACAACCTCTCATAAATCCAACAACAACATCTTTAACGAAACGAATAATAAAAGAAGAAAGAAACCAGTAAATATTTCTATAGGTAAACTCGTCTCGAGTGTGATCATGGCCATTGAGATGGATCCTCATGTACACTACGGCAAAACGGTGTCGTTCCTTGAAGGAGTATAGACTCGAACAGCTTGAACCGGAGAATCTCCGGCTGGCTTAAGCTCAATCGGAACTGGATTAATTTCCGTGCTTGGTTATGTTTTGGTTTTACTTTTACAACGGATTGGTTTGTTTTACTATTCAATTAGATTGGCACGAAAGAGAGACGTCTGAATTCGATTCGGTTTGGCTTTGACAGAGATTGATTCAAATGGCCGACTACTAGTTTTCGTATAATTTCTACACTGAATCGTCTCCAATGTGAAATTTCAAATCCAAAAGACAAAAATGAGAGAAGCAGAGTCAAGAAAGGTAGAAGTGAGGTCTCTACTAAACTGGAGCATCTAATCATATCATGAATTTCAAACGTGATAAAAGACTAAGAGGATTAAGTTTTTTTTATCAGATGACACAAAATTCAAACAAAACTAGGAACAAAGGTCTTGGAGTGTTGTGATCACTATCTACTACAATTAAGTATTCTGAATTTTGTTAAGGCTTTTTGAACAACTCAAATCCAAGCATTTAGCGAGTAAATATTAAAACATGTTATCAAATCCTATTTAAAAATCCGACAGCAAAGAAATGCAAATGTACGCAAATATTATCAATCAAAACAACTTCACGACGAGTGATTTTAGATCAAAGATTAAGCCAGAACAAAATGAACACAACAGAGCAACGATGAAGGAGCGTAATGCCACGAAACTACGGAAATCGCATAAACCAGTGAAAATGGCAGGCGACATTTCAAAAATCCAAATGACATAACACATCTGAAATTCCGAATAAGATCCAACAAGGTTCATAAACTACTACTTTAAATAGATCCCTTTCAATATCCAAAACGAGATTAAAGTTTAGAGAGAGATTCCAAAACAAAACAAAAACCAAAAAGGGAAGGAAATTTTTGGATAACCTAAGCTGTGAGCACAACAGCGCCACCAGCTTCCTTGATCTTCTTCTCTGCGGTCTTCGAAACGAGCTTCGCCTTCACAACGAAAGGCTTGTTCTCAGGCAAATGACCTTTCCCCAAGACCTTGAAGAACCCGTGCTGCGTCACGTCGATCAACGGAACGTTGTCCTTTGTGGATTTCGCCTTCACATCCTCGGGCACGAGCGACCAGAGCTTGTCGAGGTTGACGATCGGGCAGAAGAACTTGTTGCGGAGCTTGTGGAAGTACCTCATACCGACTTTACCGAAGTAACCTGGATGGTACTTGTCGAAGAGGATCCTGTGGTGGTGCATACCTCCGGCGTTACCGCGACCTCCGGGATGCTTGCGATGCTTTCCGACACGTCCGTGCCCGGCACTGACGTGACCACGCTTCTTCCTGTTCTTCTTATCTCTGGTCGCCATTTCCGCCTCTGTCTCGACCTTCTCTACTGCGGCTACGGCTTCTGAAAAGTTCAGCACAGACTTATAAAGATGAGTTGATTCACTCACTCTCATCAGATTTCCTAGGGTTTGCGAGTTTTTGTTGGGCTCTTATTTGATATGGGCTTAATAAGCTAATAGCCCAATAGGAATATCTTTTTCATTTTCCGCCTTGCATATGAAACGGCGTCGTCGATGAGAAAACATTTCCTCGACGAGCAGAGAGAGTTTCACCACCACATCCACATGATTGAATCTCCACGCGCATTTTCTCACGCGCCGGTGTTACCTTGTGGCTGATGAGCTCGGTGGTGGATCGCCGTGGGTCCCATCTCGGTTTTGTAGATTGTTTTGGTTGACACGGAGCTTCCTTACGTTACGTCTTTCTTCAATCTGCAAAAACGACGCGTTTCGTTTCTGTCTCTGGTTTCATATGAACCAAGGAGAAAGCTCGAAGTCGTGAAGCTTCTTCTTCTTCTTCGTCTTACTCCACCGATCACGACGCCGATTCATGGCTCTGCAGGTACTCGGCTGCACGAGCCGCCCCATCCGCGTTTCCCTCCACCGACGGTGTTCTGTTATTGCTACCAGTGACATCAAAAGGAAGAATCTCCGATTCGTAGCAAAACCGAAATTATCGTTCTCTCTTCAGTTCTCAAATAGAAACTATCGGTTGCCTCCGATTAATTGCTCGACGGTGAATGGAGCAGCGGTGGGAAGCGCGGATTATTATGAAGGAGAAGGAGACTCTGTCTCACTTTCCGATAGGATTCGGCAATGTATTGGTTTTCTCCGGACGATATTACCAGGCGGAAGGTGGTGGAGGTTCTCGGATGAGGTTGACAGTAGGTTTACGGCGAAGCCGGTGACTGTTTGGCGTGCGTTAAGTCGGATGTGGGAACTTGTGGCTGAGGATCGGTGGGTTATCTTCGCCGCGTTTTCGACTCTTATCGTAGCGGCGGTGCGTGTTTTCTTTCCCTCAGTTTCATTGTTGTATTTCAGAATCTTCCTTTTTCTAATAATTTTGCTCTCTCTACTTGTTTCAGCTTTCAGAGATATCAATTCCACATTTCTTAACAGCTTCGATTTTCTCGGCACAAAGTGGTGATATCACTGTGTTTCGTCGAAATGTGAAGCTCTTGGTTGTGCTATGTGTTACCTCAGGCATTTGCAGGTCAACATCTTGTATGGTCAAACGCTTGTCCCTGGTTTTCTTAATTCTCAAGTTGAATTAGAGGGTGGCTCTTTGCTGTCTGATCAACTTTGCTCTTTTTGAGATTCTTTTACCAAAAATTTTCCAGCCATTGATATTGTGGAGCTCCTCACCCAACTCTTTGTTCAACTCATGATTCCAGTGGCATACGAGGATGCTTCTTTGGGATTGCAAACATGATACTTGTGAGTTTACTTCCCGGGAATCTACGTTTTTGGTTTTTAATCTTCTCAGGAAATTTTCCTTCACACGAAACATGATATGATGAGGTCTCATTCTACTCTGTAGGTGAAACGAATGAGGGAAACGCTATACTCCACGCTTCTCCTCCAGGTACTGAAAGTTTATAGCTTTGGGCATCGTTCTTGAATCTTGGTCGCTCGTGTTTGCCTTTAATTTTTTGAATCACTCTAAAGCTAACTCGGCCGGTTTGTGCATCAGGATATATCGTTTTTCGACTCTCAAACTGTTGGTGACTTAACAAGCAGACTCGGATCGGATTGTCAGCAAGTCTCGAGGGTCATCGGAAATGATCTGAACATGATATTTCGCAATGTTCTTCAGGTCTTCTTCTAAACAATATGGTTACCATATTACCATCTCGTCTGAAGTGTTGTTTTTTTCGCACATGATTGATTGACATCTATATATGTTTACATTCTTTATTTTAGGGTACAGGGGCATTGATTTATTTGCTGATCCTGTCAAGGCCCCTTGGGCTGTGCACATTGGCGATTTGCTGTACTTTGGCAGCGGTTATGTTCGTTTATGGGACGTGAGTTTCTGGCATTACTTTTCTCCCTTTTCTGATTAAAATTATTGATTTGGAAAGGTATAATAGATAATACACCCAGGAAACTGCTACTGGTACCGAAGGCTAGTGTTCTTATGTGAGGGGGGAAAGTAAAGATACATCTGGTCATGTTGTAGGTACCAAAAGAAGACAGCGAAGCTAATTCAGGAGATCACAGCTTCTGCAAATGAAGTAGATTGTTCAAGAACTTTGATCTTAAACATATGTCTTTGATGCAATATATATTCATTCGCTTATAATTTTTATCTGATTGTCAAGGTCGCTCAAGAGACATACTCTTTGATGAGAACTGTTCGTGTATATGGGACAGAAAAGCAAGAGCTTAAAAGGTGCAATCTGATTTCATGAAACCATTGAAAGTCTCTCCATTTCTTGATTATTTTTCTGTTGAAATTTTGTGATATCGGCCGAATCTGTTTCAAGTTACTTTTTGACATGCTATTTCTCCCCTTCTGTGGTGGATAGGTACAATCACTGGCTTCAGAAAATGGCGGATGTAAGTTTGAGACAGAGTGCTGCATATGGTATTTGGAATTGGAGCTTCAACACTCTTTACCATGCAACTCAGGTTCCTCAAATATTACCCTGTTTTGCTTCTTATCACTGTTTTTGGGAAGGATCAATTAGTCTGTGGTTCTTAAAGATGGTGAAGCTCATTATGCTAAAGTGTGACAAGAACCATCATTTGTTTCTATTATAGATTATTGCTGTCTTGATTGGAGGAATGTCTATCTTAGCCGGTCAAATAACAGCCGAGCAGCTGACAAAGTTTCTGTTGTATAGTGAGTGGTTAATCTATGCTACATGGTGGGTGGGAGATAATTTATCATCTTTGATGCAATCAGTTGGAGCGAGTGAAAAGGTCTTTCAAATGATGGATCTCAAGCCAAGTGATCAATTCATATCAAAAGGCAAGGTTCAGTTTAGTATATTTTAGAAACATGTCGACCAATTATGAAATTGACGTGAGCTTGAGTTAGGTTGTTATCAGTTGATATAGCTCTTGAGTCAGACCTCTTTCAGGATGAACCACCTAGAGTAAATCACTTTGGACTGCCTACCTAAATGCTTACTGAGATTGCTATGCTCTACCATGTAATTTTGTTTTTATATATAAACTGTTGTGCAGGAACGAGACTGCAGAGACTGACAGGACATATCCAGTTCGTAGATGTTTCGTTCAGCTACCCTTCAAGAGAGGAGGTATGACTGCATTAATGTGTAATCTGTGGAACCCAACCTTTTGCCTCCAACTTTCTGCTTTTGTGTGGACATCCTTGAACCACAATTTGCTGATTAGTGAAATCAGCAATTCTATTATTTCCACCTTTATGTCACAGATTCATATATCATTCAGATTCTGAGTTGCAATTTTTTTAATCATAGTGCTTGCAAATTAATGACCAAACTTATTGTGTGCGTCTGCACCATTTTACATTTGTGTTTGGTATACTAGAATTTATGCACACACATCATTAAAAAAAAAAATCAGTTTGTTTAAACAAATCATATCATATGTGTAAATATACCAGGTGGCAGTTCTTCAAAACGTGAGCATTTCCGTGCGTCCTGGTGAAGTGGTGGCAATCGTAAGTATAAAATCTCAACGTAGTCCTACAGCGCCATTGATTTGCTTAGAATGTATTGGAAGTGATTCGAATCTTGTTGTGTTTAGGTTGGTCTAAGTGGCAGTGGCAAAAGCACAGTGGTTAGTCTTTTGCTGCAACTGTACGAACCAAAAAGCGGCCAGGTAAGTTATTCAAACTCACTGTAGAATAACCTCTTAAGCCTTTCCTTCCTAAAGGCTTTCTCTTTGAATTCAAGATTCTACTCGATGGGGTTCCTTTGCAAGAGTTAGATGTCAAGTGGCTGAGGCAAAGAATCGGATACGTGGGGCAGGTTCTCCTCGCATTTACACTACAAGAAATCAACTAAACTTTGATTAATTCTACTTTTCCCTTTCTAAAGCTGCCACAATGAAACAGGAACCAAAGCTCTTCCGCACAGACATCGGCTCGAATATAAAGTATGGATGTGATCGAAACATAACGCAAGAAGATATTATATGGGCCGCAAAGCAAGCATACGCACATGAATTCATCACAGAACTTCCCGATGGTTACAACACAATAGTCGATGATGATTTACTTAGTGGAGGGCAGAAACAGCGTATTGCCATTGCTCGTGCCATCCTCAGAGATCCTAGAATTCTCATCCTCGATGAAGCCACAAGTGCACTTGATGCAGAGAGCGAACACAACGTTAAGGTAAAAAAAAACCTTCTTCTACTGCCAGAAAGAGAAATTACTTGGACGCGAGAATTCTTAAACCTTTGTTTGTTCCAGGGCGTACTTCGTTCTATCGGAAGCGACACAGTGACAAAGAGAAGCGTTATAGTGATAGCACACAGGTGCCTTTTTCTTACACAGATCCGGTTTTTTTTCTTACATGTTTTTTGATGATCGATTTATGACATCTTTAAAAAACATTCTGTTCCTTCAGACTTTCTACAATTAAAGCTGCGGATAGAATAGTGGCTATGGACAGTGGACGAGTCGTCGAGGTATAAGCCACACTCTTTACTGTTTTCGTTACATTAGTTAAAACCGTTGCTTTTTCACTGATACGTTTGTGTCCACAAAACAGATGGGAAATCACAAAGAGCTAATGAGCAAAGATGGCTTGTACGCGAGATTGACGAAGAGACAAGCCGATGCTGTTGTATGATTGATCCTCTAAGCTCTACACATGCGAAACAGTTCAGGAATAGTCATGATTATGTTTTTGATTGGTCATGATGACGAAATATAATGATGAAAATTGTGTAAAAAGGTGCAAAACCATTAGATAAAATTCTTATTTTTATACCCGTTCGCACAAATAATGGCGATTTCTTATAGTAAATGTAAACTACCTGTCGTTTCGTTACTTTTTAAACGGCACGAAAATTAAAGGAAAACACTGAAGACGACCCGCTGTTTTGTAGATAATAGGGTCTTAATCAAATTCGATCTCAAACGCGAAGAGTCAAAGACTTCACAGAGCTTGCTTCATCTCTCTCGCACCGGAGAGAAGGCTAATGGACGCGCATCAGCCACCGCCTCCGTACATGAGACCGCCGTCTGGACCACCGCCTCCGGCTGATCCTTATCACCAATACTATCAGTATCAGGCGAGACCACCGGTGCCTCCTCCTGCGCAACCCGGTGGTGGTCATGCATGGTACTCCAACCAATTTCATAACCCTCACTCTCCATCACCACCGCCTCCACCTCCGCCACAGTGGGGGCCACCTCCCGCTTATCCTCCTTTCCCCACGCACCCTCACCAGCCGCCATTCAACGCAGGCGCCAACGGTAACAGTCACTTTCCCGTGCCTGCCGGAGCAGCGCCTCCTCCGCCGTATACTCCTCAGGCTAATCAGGTTACTACGGTTGCTCCGTCGTTACACTACCCTGTGTTTTTCCTCTTTATTCTTAGATTTGATTTTGATTTTGCATATTAGGAATGGGGAAATCCGAATTGGGGGCCTCAACAAGGTCACACCTCTCAAGGTTGTTTTCTTCTTCATCGCCATCAAATGTTATTGAGTGAATTGTTAAGGTTTGGCTTCTGACTGTCTCTTGATGTCAGCTAATAGCAACGTCGAGGATTGGGCAGTGAAAGCTAAAGAATGGGCAGCTGCTAACGAGGATCAACAGACGAAATCTGCACCGAACCAACCTAGTGGACAAGTCTACCGGCAGTACCCTAATCACGGCTATCAAGATGTTCATCATCAACAGGCGGCTCCAGGTTTAAGCTATCAGCAGCAGTATCCGGTTCCACAGCCGGAGAGATATCCAAATTATGCAGCAGGAAACGAGAGCTTTCATGGAGGTTCTTCTGCTGGATTGACACATCAAGAAAATCTGCCTACCGGTTCAGCAATTCATCAGCAGGAGGTACCTTATAGTTATTCTTCTGTAGCAGGTAACCATTTACTTAGAACATCATTCTAGCTCCTACTCAAGCACTCTGTGTGGGTTGGGTTTCCTTGTAACTTCAAAGTTTCCCTGTCCTAAGTCTATGCCCATGATAAATCATGTGCATAGTGATGTGTTGCGTAATATATGGGTACTTACTCGCCAGAACGATACATGTATCCCATACATACCTATTACTGATCATAGTTCACCTTGCGTTTTACTCCTTAAACAACCTGCCAGTGTTTCTCATTTTTGTTGGTCTAGAGAGATAGGTAATACTGATTAAGCTATGAACACCTCCAGAACTTAAACTTGTTAATTTGTTTGCAGGTAAAGAAGAATCTGGCGATGCAACACACCATGAGGTGCAGACATCAGTGTCTGATGGCGGGGGACTTGTTCGCGTGGAGCAGCAGATGCAATATCCGTATGTAGATCAAACAGCTGTTCCACCTAGTAACCTTAGTGATCAGCCTTTACAGTTTGATACCAGAGAGAGTTCTGATTATGCTAGTCATCATAATGCATGGCCGCACGAAGCCGCAACTGGAGTAGTGTATCCTCCAATCCCTTCATCAGTACCGTTAATGCCACAGGTACTCTATCATTTATTTTGGGTAGTCTTTCATTTTTGTATTAGTTCGAAGGAGGCAACTTTGATGTTTGCTTTCTTTGCAGCATGACCCATCTATGGCTATGCCTCCTGTTTCGGGTCATACCATGCCTACGTTTGGAAGATTTCCCCCTCCAAATCTTCAGCCTGTTGGAGCCCCTTATGCTTTTGGGACAAAGCCGCCTCTTCACCCTGTTGCAGCGTTCATGGACGAGTCATATGCAGCAGCATCTGTACCTCCTAAAAAGGTATGAATGAATTATTTGTAGAGGTTTGCACAAAAAAAAGAAAGAATTATTTGTAGAAGAATTCTGTACCTTCCATGAATTCTGGCTAATAAGGTGGTTTCCAGGCTCCTGTGCCTAACTGGCTTAAGGAAGAGTTATTGAAGAACAAAGGGTCTCTTGGAAGGCCTTCTTCAGGGAGTTTTGAGGAGAGAGAATCTATGGACGATGATGTACTTTATAAACCTCCCGTGAAACCTCACGACAAAAGGTTCAGCTCTTCTAAATCCTCCGACGACGAAGAAGAAGAAGAAGAGGAACAGGACGACGAGGTTCCTTTAACTTTAACAATGTTTTATCAATGGTTTTTTATGACGATTAAAGCTCCCTTGGGTACTTACAATTTAATTCAGCACCATCTTTAAAATGCATGGTTTGCTACGTGTAGGATGAGACGGATGCAGCTAAAACCATAGCAATTAACTTAGAGATAAAGCGTATTTTGACTGAAGTTCTTCTTAAGGTAGGTGGCCTGATAGAATGGTCTGTAAACACGTTTCTTCAACAGTTGACATTTGTCTTTTAAACAGGTTACAGATGAATTATTTGATGAAATTGCAACGAAAGTCATTAATGAAGATGAAGCAATACCTAAAGGTTTGTTGTGGTCTCCATGATTTAATTTTATGCTATTTATCTGTGGTATAATTACTGAATATACTATCTTGTTGACTGTTATTGCTGTGCTATTCATCATTGCTTCAGATGACAGTGTCCAGCACAATCCTAAGTCATCATCATCCCTTCTCTCGCCAGCTGATCCAGTGCGCAAGGCTTCAGCAAAGATTTTGGTCTCGGTAGATGGCGCAAATAAAAAAGCTGGCTCTGGCTCTCCAGCAGATCTTCTTGGTCTTGCTAATTATGCCTCTGACGATGATGATGATGCTGATACTGATGCTGCCTCGAACGCTGATGCCAATGGAGGTGATGGAGTTCTTGGCACAGGGTCAAGAAACGATGTTCATCAGCAGCCAAGCACTGAGAAACTTCCTGAACCTAAAGAAATGGTCAACGCGAAACTGGATCCAGAAGTTGAAGTCGGTGATATGTCCCACAATAACAACAAGCCAGGCTTGGATCAGATAATGGCCTCTGGAAGAAATGATAATGTGGGAGGTGGTAACAAACATTTAATTACAAGCGCCAGCTCTGGACTCGATGTTGATACTTCAGGAGGCAGAACAAACCATCTTGGCAAAACTGATAATGATAAAAATGCTCTACTAGATGAGCCTAACGGGAAGAACACTGGCTTAAAACCAGATAGCAACCTTCGTCAGGATAGCAAAAAAAGTTCTGGGAAAGGATTGAGTGACGATGTGCGTATGGATAGAAGTAGAACAGATGAAAGGAAAACTGGAAAAGAGAAGGTAGATCCTCAGAATGGTTCAAAAGATAGAATGAAGCAGAACGACGTAAAGTCAGCAGAGAAAGTTAAAGGCTTTGAATCAAATAAAAAATCTACTGATCTCCATGTAAAGAAGGACTCAAGGGACGCAGAGAGGTCTCACAGAACAGATTCTAAGGAAGACCGGGGTAAAAAGAGGGAGAAGGAAAAGGAAGAAGAACGGTCAAGACACAGACATGTTGATGACTCAAGCAAGGACAAAAGAAGGCGTTCTCCGACCAGTAATGGATCCTCTGATGATTCAACAAGGTGGCATAGGGTGTTCTACGTTAAGTTTGTCTAATGCTTTTTTTTCAATACTCACAGTGATTCGTTTTGTCTTTCTTCAGGAAGTCGCGCTCGAGAAGAAAGAACAGATCACCATCTCCTGTGAGGTCCAGAAGAAAACGCTCTTCTCCATCCAGTGATGAATCCTCTGATGATTCAAGAAGGTGGCGATAAGAGTGTTCTGCTTTGAGTTTTTTTTTTGTTGTTGTTGTCTTCAACGCTTCTTTTGTCTAATGCTAACGTATCCTTTTGTCTTTCTTCAGGAAGTCTTCTTCAAGAAGAAGGAAGCGGTCACCATCTCCCGGAAGGTCCAAAAGGAGGTAGATATTTCTATACTAATAGCACTCTGAGATCACTGGTGTTTTCTGTATGTTTGTTAGTATAAATTAGCACTAGACTATGTGAAGTTAAAAGAAGTTTTTAAAGCAAAAGTTTGAGCCAAAAGAGACGGGTAAGTATCTCGTTATGTATGAAACTCACCACAGAAAATGTATCATGTATGTTTGATTGTTATAGACATATTTCTTCGCGGTCACCACATAGCAAGAATTCTCAACGCAAGCATACTCTACATTCTTCTCATGACACATCCAGGTACGCCCATTCTCAATTTTTTCAGATGTTTTGTTCCGTCTTGCTTGACAGGTGGATAAAGCTGGATTTTTTGTTCGTTACCTTAAATACTATTTGCTAATCTCCTGTTTCTTCAGTTGAACTCAAACCTGATTTGCTATTCAGGTCAAAGCGGTCAAGGTCCAGATCACCCCGCCGGCGACATCGGGCTTAATGAACACTCTAGCAACAACTGGTCAGAGACCTTCTGAACAATGCTGTGCATAGATTTGGTCGTTTGGGATATAAATGCATGTGGTTCAATGGTACTGGACATCGATGTAAACCACTGGTTTGGCTTTGAGCGCATTGTAAACCAGTTCTTGAAGAAGAAATGAAAGGACCCCAAGAGTTCTGTATTGACTTGTTTGGACTATATATTGTTGTTTTAATAAGCTTTCCTTATGTAATTGTGTCGGTTTATACTGTGGAATTAAAGGTTTTAGTCTCCGTATTCTTACGGAATAAATTTGTTTTTTTATATTTAAAACTAATTAAGAAAATAAGAATTCAGAGAATTTCTCTGTTGAAAACAGTGGACCAATAAAGAGATGTGAAAATTTCTTTCTAAAGACAAATGTCAAAACAGTGACTCGGTGAGATTGTGATGCATCTTGTGTTCAACGGTCGTTGAATGTCGTCTTGTCTCGTTAGGCGAATCGCACGAGATATAGAATAAGAACCCTAAAGTTTTACTTTTTGAAGAAAAATGTGGGAGAAGAAGACGAGAATTTTAATAAAATCCTAAAACAATTCCTTGAAAATGACGAAAAGCGTTCACATGTCTTCTTCCTCTGTCATTCTCCTTTCCCTTCCTCCCGCCGGCTTTCCGCTGCATCAGCTTCTGTGAGTTTCGGTATTTCTCCATTTTTCATCCCTTTTTCCGTTAAAGCTCCATTTTAATTCTTCCTTTATTTTTTATTACTCCCTTCTTCTCTCTTCTCTCTTGATTCAACAATTCTTCCCTTCGATTTTCCATGAAGCTTAAGGTTCCACTCTCTCTAATGTCTCCCACTTATTCCTCTGTTCCCGTGTTTACTAGATCTTAGACTTCAGTTTCTGTCTTCTTACAGGGTCTCCGAGCTGGGCTCTTGTCTGTTTGGCTATCTGGGTTTCTCCTAATCGCTCTCTCCTTCTACGGCACTCAGCTTCTGTCTCCTTCTCTCAACGACCAGTTCAGATACGCTTCGCTTTCTCGAGATTCCATTGCTCCTAGAATCACCATCTTCACTGCTCTCGATGGCTCCTCCTTTGAAGAAGATAGCCGAGCTTTACTGCGTATTCGTTCATGGCTCGCTTTGTCTTCTCAAGTCACCGTTGTTCTATTCACTCCGCGCAACTCTTCTTTCTTCACCGACAGATTCGGTTCCCGTCTTCTTCTTGATTCCACCATCGATTTCACGTAAGCTCTTCTATATCTCCACTTCTATTTGTTTCTTTATTTCATGATTTGTGAAGTAGTCACTAGCTCTATTGATTCTTGTTTAATTGATTTACATTTGAAGATTACGCAATGGAAGATTTGGAAAATGTGACATCTCTCGGTTTTGCGTTTCTAAACTGTTAGGTTTCTTGGTACTCTGTTTCTACACTCGATGCTTGCGAGAAGTGAAGCTTATACATCCGACATAGCGGTTCTGATGGATCCAGAGACTGTTCTACTGCCAGATTTCGTTTCAGCTCTAAATCACGCTCACGAGCTTGATCGTGACTGGCTTCTCGTTTCTTCATCAGTGGACACTCCTCACTTCCCGTTTCATTGGGACGATACAGGACGTTTCTGGCGTCAGGACAGTGGGAAAAGGGTGAGATTTGGTGAGGTAAATAGGAGAAAAAACTCATTGTATTTTATTGGTAATGATAACTCTGATCACTCCTTAATCAAATTGATAGCGTTTTTTTGCAACAGTTGCAGAAGATGTTATGGCAATCAAAGTCTAGTGAAGGCAAAATGATTATGGCATGGAATAATCTTGATGTCCCCTTGCACTGTGGAGTTCTTCCACCTTTTTTGTATCAAAGAGGAACTCACAATCAATGGATCATTAACGAGGCTATCTCATGTAAAAAAAGGTTTGTGTTTGATGCAACTTCGACCATATCTAGCTTTTATCTAGGCAATGCAGAGAACAAGCATCATCATAGGAGTGATAATGTCTCAGAAGGCAAAACTAGAAACTGGGAATATATAGGAAACTCCCATCTCGGGAAGCTCTATGGATCATTGTTCTTCAGTGACAACAAGTCTTCTACTACTCTACCAAAGCTTTTGAAATGCAACAAGCGGTATATATTCGTTACTGCTTCAGATCGTTCCATTGATCCCTCTGTACCCAAAGGAAACGTAGGCTTTCGGACACGAGAGAGGATCTCAGCTTGTATCAGCAGAACCAAGTCACGAAGCTTGAAACTAGATTCTGTGCAGAGAGATCAGGCAGTGCAAGAATTGAAGTTTCCTTATGACCTTGAGTCTCTTCTCCCATTAGTTGCAGACAAGAACAGAACCGTTGTTCTTTCAATCGCTGGGTTTAGCTATAAAGACATGCTGATGAGTTGGGTCTGCAGGTTACGCCGCCTGGCAGTTACAAATTTCTTAGTCTGTGCTCTTGATGATGAAACATATCAGTTTTCTATATTGCAGGTAAAAAAAAAAAAAAGCTCTCTTGATTCTCCTTTCTTACTACATTTGAACAATCATATGGTCAAAACCAGAGAGTTTATAATCAGTTTGGTCTCGTGTCAGGGTCTGCCTGTGTTCATTGATCCATACGCACCTAAGAACATTAGCTTCAATGATTGCCATTTCGGATCAAAGTGTTTCCAGAGAGTGACCAAAGTTAAGTCAAGAACAGTTTTGAAGATACTGAAGCTCGGCTATAACGTTCTCTTGAGCGATGTAGATGTATATTGGTTCAAAAACCCGTTGCCTCTGCTTCAATCTTTCGGTCCGTCTGTTCTCGCTGCACAATCAGATGAATACAACGCGACAGGTGAGATGATGATGAACTGATCATTTGGATTAAACCAAACCTTTGTTTCTCAAAATACTAATGAATTTGGTTTTGTTGCAGTACCGTTAAACCGACCAAGACGCTTGAACTCGGGGTTCTACTTTGCACGTTCAGATGAACAGACGATAGCAGCGATGGAGAAAGTGGTGAAGCATGCTGCAACCTCCGGTTTATCGGAGCAGCCAAGCTTCTATGACACATTATGTGGAGAAGGTGGAGTTCATCGTTTGGGAGATGATAGATGCGTTGAGCCAGAGACAAATCTGACCGTTCGTTTCTTGGACAGAGACTTGTTTCCCAACGGAGCTTACGGAGATTTGTGGCTCAAGGAAGATGTTAGAGCAGAGTGTGAGAAGAAGCATTGCTACGTTTTGCATAATAACTGGATCAGTGGGAGATTGAAGAAACTCGAACGCCAAATGATGAAAGGTCTTTGGGAGTATGACGCATCCATGAGGATGTGTGTGTAGAGATGATAAGGATTATTATATATATATACGTTAGATACGACGTTCAAAAAAGGCTCTTTAGTTTTGGATATAGTTAATACGAAATGTGTTTATTTGCTGTATTGTTTTGTGAAATAGTTTTAGGAATATGAACACTGTAAACCGAAAATTATTTGAGATGAAAGAATGTAACTGATTCCGTATATTTGGTGGCCTGCTTAACATCTCTATTTGACTCCAATGCCTTTAAGTGGTGCACGTTGTGGGTTCGTGGAAGAAATCTTACATTACAGAAAGAGCTGCATTTTCTTCTATCAGTCGTCGTCGTTGTCGTTGGAGAAGGTAATCTTGTTACCGCAGAAACTTACTCGTCGAAGGTGGTGTTCATGCTGTTTCTTGTGTTCCTTCAGCTTCAGTGTGATCTTCAAACCAATGACTTCTTGTCGAAGATAGTCTTCATACCTGGAATATATCATAAAATCCTTGTCGTCTCTCCATCTATACCAAAAACTTCACCCAAAATGTGATCTTGATAACAAAACTCAAAAGATGAATAGTTAAAAATCCCTTACCAAAGCTTCTTTGCAAGCTTGTACAAGTTGTACCTAATTACCAAAAATTAAAAGCGTTACTCCTCTGTTAAGACATCAAAACTACAGCAATAAGTTAGAGAGAAAATCAATTTACTTGGGTCGGAAAGGGTATGGAGAAGCTATCTCAGCCATGTTAACATACATGGCAAGACCATTCTTCTCTTGCACCGCCTACAGTTTAAAAGATTTACTCAGCGAATCTAATTTCATATACTTCTTTCATCATTACTATTAAACCACTCTCATCACCTTCTTTGCTTCGTCAGCAGAAGCAAACTCCACAAAGCCACAGCCCATACTCGCACCGCAGTGGTCTACAATAAGTCGAACACGAACGGCTTTTCCAACATTTCTGAACCTGTTGACGCTGTAAAAATGGAGGACAAAACATCAGTCATAAAAAACTTACCCCAAGAACGAGAGAGGAAAGTAAAGGTGCTGCTTACATAGCTTGTATGTCTGTTTTGCGATGGAGATGTCCAAAAAAGACCGTCTTTTCTCTTACGGCAACTTCCTGAATTTAACAGTCAAGAGTGTGTTAGCACAAGACTCTAAGGAGAAAAGGACTTAAATTGCATAACAACAAAAAGTAGTCTCATCCCTAGAATAAGCCATCTTTCGACTTTGTCGCACCAGTTGTGTTATTAAACGCTAAACGTTTCTTCAGATAAGAAGAGGTACCTCAGCAAAATCGGGAGTTTCATCAACTTCTTCCTCTGCCGCATCTTCCTCTATCAGAAGGCTTTCCCGTCGAAGGTAGTCCTCGTACCTGAAATATATCAACAACCCTTGTGATCTCTCCATGTATACCCAAAAACTTCACCCAATGTGCTCTTGATAACAAAACTCTAAAGGCAAAATAGTTAAATCCCTTACCCAACCTTGTGATCTAAGCAAAACCTGCATGACAAAAACAATAGCGTTAGTCTTCTGTAATGGCATCAAAACTCTAGCAATAAGTTTCATAAACAAATCTACATAACATGGAAAATCAATTTACTTGGGTTTTGGAGGGTGTGGAAAATCAACAACATCAAGAAAAATCTTGCGATCGAGTAAATATTCACCGTTCTTTGTTTCCAGGGCCTACAGTATAAGAGATTTAATCAGCAATTTTACTTTCAAATAACTACTTGTATTTACACTACTTTTCAATTGACTACTAAAATACTTTTCATCATTACTATAAACTACTTCTCACCTTCTTTGCTTCCTCGACAGAAGCAAACTCAACAAAGCCATAGCCCAAATGCTTGCCGCTGGGTTCTACAATAAGTCGAACATGAACAACTTGTCCAACATCTTTGAAGAAACCAATGCTGTAGATATGGAGGATACAAATATTAGTCATGAAAAACTTGCTCCAAGAACAAAAGAGGAAATTAAAGTTTCTTCTTACATATCTGATATTTTAGTTTCGTGCAGACCGACAACATAGAGCGTCTTTCCTCTTACGGCAACTGCCTAAATTTAACAGCCAAGTGTGTTAGCACGAATCTTTCGACTTCGTGGCAACAGTTCTGATATTAAACGCTGCAACATATTTTAAAGATAATAAGAACAGGTACCTTCACAGAGTCGGGAGTTTCATTTTGTCCTTTCATCAGAAAAATCTTATGATCGTCCAAATATGAACCATTCTTATTTTTCAGCGCCTACAGTATAAAACATTTAATCAGCAAGCATACTTGTATAATTTTCATCATAAGTATACACTACTTTTCAAATTACTTTAATACTCTTTTCATCATTTTCATCATTAATACAGAACAGCTCACCTTTTTCGCCTGGGTAGCGGAAGCAAACTCAACAAAGGCAAAGCCCGCATGCTTACCCTCGTCGTTTACAATCAGCCGAACACTAACAGGTTTTGCAACGTCTTTGAAGAACTTGATGCTGTAAGAGTAGAGGGTAAAAGCATCAGTCATTAACAACTTGCCCCGAGAACAAAAAGTGGAAATTTAAGGTGTTACTTACATATGTGATATTCTAGTTGTCTGGGGAGAGAGATTGGCAACAAAGAGTACTGCCTGAATTTAACAGCCAAGAGTGTGTTAGCACGACTCTAAGGAGAAAAGGCCTTAAAACTCCATAACAACAAATTGTAGATCACTTATCCCTAGAATAAGTCGTCTTTCGACTTTGAGTAATGTTATTATAAGCTAAGCGTTTCTTCAGAGCCTCAACAAAATCCGGAAGAGGGTACCTCAACAAAATCCGAAGTTCCATCAGGAAGGCTTTCTCGTCCAAGGTTGTCCTCGTACCTGGAACATATCAAAAACCCTTGTCATTTCTCCAAAAGCTTCACCCAATGTGCTCTTAATAACAAAACTCAAAAGACAAATAGTTAAAATCCCTTACCAAACCTTGCAATCTAAGCAATACCTAATTAACAAAAAAAAAGTAGCGTTAATCTTGTGTAATGGCATCAAAACTCTCTAGCAATAAGTTACAACAAGTGTCAGGGAAACAAATCTCCATAGCATAAATCAATTTACTTGGGTAGAATGTATGGAGCTCCCTTATTAGCCGCATCAATAGAAAGCTGGCGTTGGTACAAATATTCACCGTTCTTCGTTTCCAGTGCCTACAGTATCAGCAATTCGTAGTACATTCAGATAACTATGTATATATTTTTTTCTCGAATGACTAGTTAAAATACTTTTCCATCATCAGTTCATCACTATAAACTACTCTCACCTTCTTTGCTTCATTAGCCGAAGCAAACTCAACAAGGCCCTTGCCCTCATGATTGCACCTGCAGTCTACAAAACGTAGAACACGAACAACTTGTCCAACATCTTTGAAGAAATCGATGCTGTCAAAAATATTAATCATGTTGAACTTGTAGAAAGCTAAATATTAGTCATGTTGAACTTGTAGGGAAACTAAAGGTGCTACTTACATATCTGGTATTTCAGCATAGCCAGAGATATGGGAAAGATAGAGCGTCTTCTTTCTTACGGCAGCTTCCTGAATTGAAACAGCCCAGTGTGTGTTAACAATAAGGTGAAAAATGACTTAGAATTGCATAACAGGAAAAAAGGAAGATTCATCCTCAGAACAAATTCATCTTTCGACTTTGTGGCGTTTCTTCAGAGTTACCTCAAAAAAATCGGGAGCTTCATCGAGTCCTCCTTCGATCACTGTCTCCTGATGTATTTTGGAGAAGAAGATGCTTAATTGAACATGAACTTGTGCAAGTTTTTTCGAAATATCTAACAAACCGTAGAGTATACCTTAGCCTGATCAGACATTGTCTCCGACAACTCGACCTCGACACTTCCTTTGATCCGCTCTTTCGTTGTGTCCTTCTCCTCGGGGTTTTCCTTAGGTTTCTTCAGAACTGGTTCAGTCTCCAAATCATCTTCCGGCTTTCGCTTGCCCAATCGATTAGCTTCGGCCATGGAGAAGATGGAAACAGCGACGGTTTATTTGCCGGGAAGAATTGAGACTTTTTGGCTCGAGGACGATGCTATAATTGATTACTTTTAACAAAAAAAAAAAAAAAAAAGAAGGAAAAAGGTATGTAAACAATAATCTAGTTTGGGTTGGGCTTTTATTTGTTGGGTTTATGTACCGTCCATGACTTTGGTAGTTTGGTGTTTTGTCCTCTCCCAAAAAAATCATTTTGTAAAAAGGCTGATTTTTAAATTGATTTTTAACCATCATCCCATCTACATAAGAGTTTGCCTTGTGGTAAGAATTTCTCTTGAACAGTCGATTTTCTTCACCCATTATGGTGTGTTTAGTCATGTTTCTAAGAATAATTCTCTCAATCCCCTTTAGACAGTATCTCTGTAAGAGAAGTACATTGCTATGTATTCTCCAGCAGGCCATGGAGAAAGCCAATCTCAAGAAAAGTAAGTGGATACGGTTCTCGGCTTTCTTCTTATTAACACTGTATATTAATAGAGCTATCGAAATTCTTCTGGATTGAACTTAGAAACAGAGATAGTGGAAGAATATTGGTGAGCGCTTTAAAACTAGGAGTAGCTAGTGATTTAGATTAAGTTCCTTTCACTGCTAGTGGCATATATTAGCTTGCTGCATTTTGATGTGAGGTTGTGATTCTGTTTATGTCCTGATATTCTGAGGTTAGCCATATACATTTGACAAGATTATCATTGTATGCCACATATATATGATTTGGAGTAGCATCAGTTCTTCACCAAATGATGCTTTTTTGTTGAATGGCTTTAGCTTGAGTAATATATGCTTTAAGGCTTGGCTGTGTGGCTTGGGTGGAAAAATGTTGTCATTACCATACTTCTCAATCTTATTGTCATTTTTAACTGATTTCTTTCTATCTAAATCTTACAGCACTTGGGGAGAAAGAAATCTCTCATATGAAGTCAGAAGATATTATTATCTTTGCTACAAAGGTTGGAGGTCTCTAGAGAATATAGACAGTTCTATCATTTTTCATTTGATTTTAGCAAATATGTAATGATTCCTTGAAGCCATTGATAATGAGAGCTCTCTTCTTAATGATTTATCAATGGCTTCGACAGCTAACTCTTTTAAAAGTGTGAATTCAAACAGAAGATGATCAGATTTTGTGTTTGTAATCATAATTCATAAATTAAAGATCTGATTGTTTCAAGTCCTGTTGATGTGGTTAACGATGATCCGTCATGATCATTACAATTCATTTTGTTTTGGCATGTATGGTCAATGTTCAATATTTAAGTAATCATAATTCGTAAATCTCTAATGATCTAATGTTTCAGGTACCTGAACTGAACGATTAGGTCGTCCCATCATTTTCTCATACATGATTTCAACATAACTTTGATTCTATATGTACCTGAACTGAAAATAACTTTGAACTCAAGTCGGTTTATAATAATATAATTAGGATTTAATAGTTATATTATATTAGAAAGAAGATATATTGTATCAACGAAATGTATAACAACGATCACTTCAATATCAAACATCGCATCCTGTTCCAACTCGTATCATACATGGTCAAAAACCACATTTTAAAACCAAATAAAGCAAAATGAACTTGTGTAGATAAACAATAAATTGAATGTGTATTAACTAAAAACGTAATTCGAGTTTGATTGAATTATATAAATTTTGTGTGATCCGAATAACTAGTCATTGGAACAGATAGGAGAGCTCATTAGAACAGATAGGAGAGCTCATCGACATTCAGGAGACGGTGAATGGAGGCCTTTACAATTGCCGTAAAAATGTGATGTTTAGGACTAAAAATATTATATGTTGTGAAATTATGGGCTTCGTACAAAATTTCATAATAATTCAAAAAAAAAACTAAATAAATAATTAGTCGTTAAAGTTGTTAATTTTTTTTCTTTTCTCAACAATGTCTCCTCAGTTACAATTATAAATATCAGAAACTTTTACGATGTTCATGCAAATCATTTGTTTTCGTCTTGGCTTTTTAAAAGGATTGCAAGACAAGAGGTCTATGTCAATGGAAAATATCAAATGACGTTTGATTGAAGAAATTAATATAAAAAAATATCTTTTTAAAAAAACTCAGATTATTGTTTCTTAATGGAAAAGATATGGGAAAATATCTAAAACTTGTACTGTAGCACTGAAAACGATATTTTTTTAACCATACATGAGAAGAAGAATCTATAGGTACTTTATAATTATCAAACAAACATTGTCAGAAGATACACAATTCTATTTGTTGCAGCTACATGTTTGCATTAATTTATTATCACATTATATCATGGAGAGAGTCCATATTGTTAAAAAGTAGTTGAAACTCTTTGTGAAAAAAACATTTGCTTGCTTGTAAATCTTTGTAACCGGTAAAAAGTAAAGATTTATCGTGTAAATGATTCATTCTTGACTGTCGAAACAGTTTTTAACAGTCCACAGTGTTTCTGGTTCCTTCGAAGTCCACGTGTCAAGATGTGGAATATAATTTCTTCTGATGTCTCTCTTTTGTCCTATGAAGTCTGCACTTTTTCTTTTTATCTTTTGATTCACAGAATATCTCCAAAATGTTATAACGTCGGCCAAATTTTCTTTTCGATTTAAAATATTCGAATAAATCACGCGACACATAAAAAAAAAAAGAATAAACCATACTTTTATATTTCGTCTTTTCACACTCCTTTGCAGTTTACTCTCTATATATTAGCCACCGAGTCTTATCGTAGCTTGGCTTGAACAAAAACCATACACACACTTTCTTCTCCTTTAAGCTCGCAATGACCAATCCTTCACCGAACCCAACCACCGTCAAATTCCTTTGTAGCTACGGCGGCAGAATCATTCCACGTTATCCCGATGGCAAACTCCGTTATCACGGCGGCAATACACGTGTCCTCTCCGTTCCTCGCTCCATATCCTTCACCGGTTAGTTAAATCAGTTTCTTTATTTTTCCGAATTCGAAACTTTCTCTTTGGAAAGAGAAACTTACTTAAGCGTTGACTTGGCGGTGGTTTTAACAGAGTTGGCGAAGAAACTCGGCGAGATCTGCGGGATAACGGTGATAAGTCTCCGGTGTCAGTTACCGACGGATGATCTCGACGCTCTCATAAACATAACATCCGACGAGGATTTAAAGAATCTCATGGAAGAATACGACAACGATACTACGGCTCCGTCGCTTAAGATCCGCGCCTTCCTTTCTCCGGTAAAATCAACCACGACGAAGACCTCGTCTCCTCCGCTTTCAACGGCGTCTTCTTCTTCTTCTTCTTCTAATTCTTCGTCAAAATCATCATCTCGCTCTCGCTCTCCTCCGTCGCCATCGTCAACTGTAAATCGGGAAACATGTCCGGTCTGCGTAGAGAGATCGATCCGTAACAATGGATGCTACGTTCATAGAAGTCCGAGCCATAACCAATTCTACCAAGTCCACAACTGAAAGATCACCACAAGCCAAAAGTGAACCCGAGAGTTTTAGATGTAATCGAGTTTGTTTAAGTTAATCCGGTTGTTTTGTGATTAGTGGGTTGTGTTATATATATTGTGCTTCACCATATATAATAAGTGAAGTTGTAAGCACTTGTTCATTTACAATCAATAACATAAAATCTTCGACTAATTTTCTGCTAATCTAGCTAATATAGAGATTTAAAATAAGGTGGGAATAAAACCAAGCAAAAAAGTAAGCAAAGATTTTTATCTTGTTTTGATGCTATGTGGCTCTCTGTTACATTTTATTTTATTTTATTTTGTGGGAATAAAACCATAACAAAAGTCCAATGAGTTCAGTGGAAACAATACATGATCATGTTCTGACCCCAGTTCTGTGGGGGTGTCTAAATCCCTTTTTAGTTGTACTTTTTTCAGATATTTTCGTTGTTGGAAAATCAAAATTAAACCAAAATTTATTTGGTTCGGTTTAATACGGTTTAAGGTTTATCTGAGCCAGTTTTACTATATAGACGGGAAAAAGCACAACTGAAGCTCTACATAGTAGTACTTTTAGAGCACCTTCATCGGGTATATTAGAAAGATTTTTTAAAAATAAAATATTGAAAAAAAAGAAAAAGCAAGAGACAGAAACAACATACGTTTCTCAAAACACAACTTTTAGAAATTTTTAAGCAATGTATGTTAACAAATGTCCAGTTATCATTCGTTCCTTCCTTTTCTTTCTCTTTAAATTTTAAAATTAAATTAAATAGATAAATTATATTAATTTTATATATGTAAGAGACGGAATTTAATATCCTCGCCGCTAAAGATGCTCTTATGTGTAGAGAATGTACCTATGTTGATTTACAATACAGTAAAATCTTTAAGATATTTGTTTGTATTTTACATATATATCTACAGAATCGTCTAGATCTGTGTTACATTAAAGCTATACTAAAAAACTTCGAATCCAATCGTCGTCCTATTTGCATAATATTTGCTCATATTTGTCTTACTATTTGCTTAAAAATTGTCTTTTAATTATACATTATGTGTTAATTCATTTAACATATGATGTTGAACATTCATCAAAACACTATAACATTTATATGTTCTATTTAATTTGTTTAATATACATTGGAGGTAAAACTTGTCGAAGTTTGATCCTGAATAGTAATATTATGGTTAGATGGGAATAATGAAAAAGTGTACAGTTTCTCTGGTTGGAACTGCATAAAATGGTTTATTATATAATCGTTGTAGGTTTAGTTTAAACTATTTCACTAAACTGTCTCGCGCTATTGCTGGTAGAGTAATATAGGCTTGCTTCTTTAACCAGAGTTGGAGTGATCGTGTGCCTTGTGTGCATATGATATTTCGATCATATAACCGGTTTCTCTACGTTGTAACGTACAGCACAGTCAAATATTTGTATCGGGGATTGTGTTAGCAAAGCTAGAGATGATGATTTTGGATAATCAGGCAATTGAACAATGGTTTTGGATTATGAATTTTGTTTTGGTTGTCCTTAATTAGCGGTATGGTTTACAGAAGTTTTATCTAAAAGACCTATTACTATGGTAAATAAAGAAGATATACATACATGGTGATTGAAAAGAAAAAAAGGCCAAGGGGTTAAATTAAAATTGAATATGAATCAAGAATTGAAGCGAAAGAATATTTATCATATCATAAAAAAAAACATTGACTCCAATTGTCATATTTGCATGATATTTGCTCAAAATTGTTTTCTATTCGTATAATTGTTAGTTTTTTTTTTTTAATTGGCGTATAATATTAGTTCATTGGCATGTTAAATGTGTACTATGATATTTTAAAATCTGTCAAATGTAAAATTTGTACTGAATAGTAGTAAGATTGATATAGTTTCTTTCATGACCTATCGTAGATGTGAAACATATACAAGAAACAATTTAAGACATATTTCAAAGTATCTTTTTTTTTTTTCTGTCAACTTATTCCAAAACATCTTCTTTTTTCTTTTGTCAACCATTTTAAAATATCTAAAGATTTCAATATTTTTGGATATTTCAATAAACCAGGAACGGAGCAATTATTAAAAGTTGCAGTATACCCCTCATAAGTTTCAATCTTCGTAAAAACCCCCATTATTTTCTACTGGATCGGTTACACACTCCCAACAAAAACAAAACTTCCCCATAAGAAGAAACCCTAATTTCGCAAAAGCCTACTCTTTTCCGATTGTCTCCCCATCCTGCGAAGCCGGACTTTGAATTCCACTGTGAAAGATGCAGCATGACGAGGTTATATGGCAAGTTATCAGGCACAAACACTGCAGTTATATGGCAAAGTTCCGTATTTGGTTCGCTTCTCTCAATTATACATTTTTCCTCTGCGACCTTTTTTTTAACTGATTGAGATTTCTCTTGCTCTGCTATTACTTTGTAGAATCGAAACCGGAATCTTCTGCAGGAATCCGTACAATGTAACGGGTATTTGCAATCGAAGCTCATGTCCTCTTGCTAACAGTCGCTATGCCACCATTAGAGACCACGATGGTACTCTACTGCTGATCCGTAATTCGAAAATTGCAAAAGTGACAACTTTATTCTGTGTTCTTCCTTGGTACAGCTTAGGGATTGCCGTTGGTTTAGTTAGAATGATTGTTCACTTCGTGTTCTTGTCTGGTTGGAATTGAGGATTGATTGTGGCATATATGGTTACTGGAAATTGTAGAAATGTGTTGCCTTTTTTGCCTACAGTGTTATGACTTCTTACTTTGATTTTGATTTTCTCTGTTTTGCAAAAAAAAAAGGTGTTTTTTATTTGTATATGAAGACGATAGAGAGAGCCCATATGCCAAAGAACTTGTGGGAGAGGGTGAAGTTGCCAAGAAACTACGAGAAGGCGCTTGAAACCATTGACAAGCACTTGGTGAGCTTAGACTACTACATTGTATGTTATCTCGATGCATCTAGAGCAGAGGTTTATTCTGTTTTTTTGTTGTTGTTGTTGTTGTTGTGGCAGTTGTACTGGCCTAAGTTATTGCAGCACAAGATCAAACAAAGACTGACCAAAATGACTCAGATGCGCATCCGGATGAGAAAACTTGCTCTCAAGACAATGTTGGTCCTCTTTACGGAAATCGTTATTTGACTTACTGTTGTTGTTCGATACCCGATGCTTATTTGTCTGTTGTTTTTTTTTATCGACAGGGAGAAGATGATGACTAGGCCTAGGAGGGATATCAAGAGAGAAGCAAGAAGAGAGGAAAAGGCTGTAAAAGCAGCTTTGTTGGATAAGGTCACCATCTAATTTTCTTGTTTTTGATATTGGCGTGTCCGCTTTTATTATCTCGTTTGTTCCTTTTCATAAGCCGGTCTCGTGAACAGGCCATTGAAACCGAGTTGCTTGAGCGTTTGAAGAAAGGCATTTATCCTGACGACATATACAATTTCCCTGAGCTTGAGTGGAACAAGGTTCTTGATGAAAAGAAACCATTGGCAGAGGGTGTTGAGGAAGAAAACGAGGTAGGTTCCTTTGTCTAAGCGTTCTATTCTCTGTTAGACAAGGTCGTGCACTCCCTTTACTCAAATATATGTTTCATTTATTCGCTGTATGAATTATCAGGAACCAGAAATTGAATATGTTGAAGGCTATGAAGAACTTGAAGAAGATGAAGATATGGAAGATTTCTCTGGTGGTCCCTCTAAGGGGTCTGGCTTCTACGATGATGAACACGGTAAATCTCGTTATTGGGCCCGATATATATTTCTTCATCTTTCAACCTAAATATGACATAAATACTTCATATTCTTGCTTCAACTCATTTACCAAAATTATTGATGCTCTGTAATCGACGAGCCCCAAATAAGTTACGAAATCCTTCATTAAGATCCAGTGTTGTTGATCCCTTATTCTCTGACGTTTTGGATGAAAAATAGTTCTCTTTTGCAAAACGTACAACCTTATGAGTTTTTTAGTCAGGTCAGGTTTTTCTCATTGTGGATTATAACAAACCTACAAACTTTCCCTACAGATTCAGCTGACGAGGAAGGCGATGACGTTGAGGAGCAAGTTGTGATTCACAAAAGAGGGAAAAGAGATTCAAGAAAGCCTGATGATCATGGAAAACCAAAGAAGAAGAAGAGAGTAGTTGTCGAGGTGAGATTTTCACACTACTAGTTGCCTAATTCTTCAAGTTTTTGAGTTTAACTTGTGGTTGCTGTTTTCCGGCATCTTCTTACATATATGTCTGTCTGTCTATATCTCTTTCAGGTTGAGCAAGAAGATGGAGACAGGAGACGAACCCTGAAAACCGCAAGCTGAGCTTAGAGGCCAAGCAAGAAAGTGAAGTTTTTTTTGTTGTTGTTGTTCTGTTTTGTTACTTGGATAAGTAGAGTGGAAAGCTTTCTTCTTGTCAGTGTTACAGTTCAAAGTTTTGAACTTTGAAGCCTTTCCAAATTTTCTAGCTGTCTTTTTTGGTATTAGTGAAAGCTAAAACTTGTTCTGAAGTTTGAATTTATTATACTTAAAACGAAGCATTTTCATTGACATTTACATGTGATTTCGGTTTTGCTGATTTTGTTGGATAATTAACTATAAAGTGTATAACTATAATTACTTATCTTGAAAAATGAAAAGCTTCGAATTTCGACGGTAATGGTGATTAAATCATTACATATCTATAAAAATGAAAAGCTTTGAATTTCGACGAATATGAAGAGCAAATCAAGCTTGTTATATAAACATGATTACAACAACAAAGGAGACGCCTTTTTGTTAATTGACCACACAAAAAAAAAGGAGATGCCTTTAGTCATTTACCCGCCAAAACTCGTTCGCTTAAGCAATTCCTCATGATGAGATTCTCAAAAACTGGCCATGGATACTTCCATCGGATCATTGTGTACCCAAGACCACCCAAAGCTATTGCGTATATCCACAATCTGGCTAAAACCCAAAACCCGGAGCTCGCTAGATTAGGTTGCGTTGATCCTCCAAGCTCGCATCCATGGCCCGAGTGGGTGGATTTGATGGGGATGCTGGTGAAGAAAGGTTACTTCGGAGAAGGCGTGAATATGAGTTCCAAAGAATCGAATCAGATTCGTACTGCCTGCCTCAATTTTGCCCGCCATCGTTTCACTCTCGTAAGGTATATATAATACGATTGATTCAAATCCTATATGCACACCACTTGTTCGACTAAATGCCAAAGCTATTATAGTACATGCTAAAAAAAACACTCTCTTTTAGTTGAAAATCAGTGAGAAATTCAGTGGAGTTTGTTTCGTTACAGATACTTGTCGAAGAAAGACATCAAAGTGATTGCTGGGTGTGGATGTCCTAGCACTGACAGGAAGGTCGTGAACTCAGGAAAGCGTCTAAGAGCTTATGTCGGCATTGATGAAGGAAATGTATGCACGGTTCCAGAATTATATACTTTTACTCATCATTCAAAATTGGATCTTAATGGTTTCACAACTTTGCATCCTTTGTTTTTGACTTGGAAACTTACTTCACCCAAGCTTAAACGTGTACTTAGTAGGTGTGTGGCTCTTGCAACTTGAGAGGGAAATGCGAGAGGGCGTATGCGCAAGCGCGAGAAGAGGAAGGTGCTCGAACGATAGATGTCATGCGCATACTGCTAACGTACGGGCTTGATACTGTGGAGAACCGTGCTTGTCGAACCAAATCTGTTGAAGACGCTGTGAGGAATCTGCTGAGAGAAAGCGTTGAGTATAGCTTGAAAGATGTTGAGTCTGCTGAGACTGAGACAGCTCGAGATGAAAGTGATGAGAGAGACCCACAAAAAAGGCCAGGAGATTGGCACTGTACAGAGTAAGTATAATCTTTATGCATTCACGGATGGTTTAATCTTTGGATTGTCTCTTTCGTTGTGAACCATTCTTGTTTTTGGCAGATGCAAGTTCTTAAATTTTGCGAGAAACATAAGATGCTTGCGGTGTGATGTCTTCTCTGAGGAAAGGCTGAAACAGTTGAAGGAAGAACAGAGAGATCATCTCCCACTGAAGAAAGGAGATTGGATATGCCAAACGTGAGGACGTCTTTTACAGTTTCATTAGTCACTTTCTGATCTTGATTAAAAAAACAATGAAACCCTGAACTTCCTTCCATTTACTTCCGCAGGTGCAACTTCCTGAACTTTGCGAAAAATACGATATGCTTAAGGTGCAAAGATAAGCCTTCTATGCGTCAGATTAATCCGGGAGAGTGGGAATGCGAGTCGTGAGTCATCATCAGTCCTAAAGTCAAAGACTTTTTGTTTAATGTAGCGTTCCTTGTTGGGAACTGATAATGTTCTCTATACATGATCAGGTGCAATTACATCAACTTTAGAAGAAACTCGATATGTTTGAAGTGTGATCACAAGAGACAAAAGTCTCCAAACGTACCGCCGGATTCACAGACTGTTGGTGATCGTCACAGCCGAGTTTCAAAGACGTGGAGTTTTGTGGAAGAAGAGAGCGGAAAACGATGCAGTGGAGAAGACGAAGAAGAAGAGGAAGAAGAAGAAGATGGGTTCATGAGATTTCCAGTGGAAGGAGGGAGAAGTAGTGTTTCAAGGAGTGCAGAAAAGAGAGAGCAATGGAAGTTGGAGATGGCAGAGAGGATGAGAAGCAATGGGACTGAGAAGAAAAAAGACGATGATGAGAAGGAGGACGAAGCAGAGTCAAGAAGACGCTATGATCGGAGAAAGATTGAGCTTCTTGGTAACAGTAGTGATGATGATGGAGAGATGGATGATTGGTTTGTTTCAAAATAAAGATTATATCATATGTTTGGTTCTACTGTTTTTTTTTATGTGCGTCTTTGGCTGGTTTTGGACAATTTTGTGGTGAGAACCTGAAACGTTGGACGCAAAAGCTAAGCACTGCGCGTTTGCGTTTGCGTTTGATAATTGTAGTAGTGGCACTACTAACAAAAGAAAATTGGATTAGAGAAATGCTTATTATTGCTACACTTTCATTTTTGTCAACTACTATTAGTTCTACACTTTCATATATATATTTTAATTATTAGTATACTAATCTAATTTAACTATTGTTCGAAAATGTAGAATGTTCAATAAACTTTTGGCAGAGCTATTAATGTTACATTGTGTAATAATAAAGTGAGGTAAATTCGTAAATGTTATGATAATTGTCGTTGCTGTCATGGTTTGCTATTTTTTTGTAAATGTGGGTTTTGAGTTATTGTATTTTTTTATAATATATTAATCAAAATAAATTAAAATTAAAATTTAAAATTAATTGAATCAAACTGAATTAAATTTAAACCGAATTGAACACAAACCAAACCGAATTAAGTTAAATTGAGTTTGATTAAAATTTTAGCAAAACCAAACTAATCAATCAAAACCGAATCAAAAAATAAATCGAAATATCACCCCTAATCTTTTGTCTTAAATTTAACAATTAGTGTTGATTTTAATTCTATAATTTAATTATGAGGCATGCCAGCCACTACACGCGTCGAGAGGAAAATTATTCCTGAAATAATATTATTCTCTTATAAATACTCAGGAGGTAATACTGTGAGACGACACGCACTTGACCAACTCTCTCTTTTTTTCTTTTTCTTCCATTATTTTCCCCCATTCACATCCTTCTGATGAACAGTGCTTAAAACTCTCTCTCTTCTCTCTTCTCTCTTCTCTCTTCTCTCTATCCGATTTCTTCTTCATTATTCCTGATTTTCTCTCGCCGGAGTCTTCAGATTCCGGCTGAATATTTGACTACAATTTCAGGCGATGGGTTCGGAGGAAGAGAAAGTCGTGGGTAAGTTCAATTCCTTCAGATTTTTAATTCGTTCGATTAGTCTGTTTGATTGTCGCTGGCGTGTTTGATTTGGAATCTAGGGTTTTGTGTTGAACTTTTTTTCCTTTTTTTTTGCTTCCCGAGGTTTAAAGCAATGATCTGATTTCACAGATTGCGAAGTAGTGTCAATTGATTCTGTGATCTGGAAATGATTAGGAGATTCTCGACTAATCAATCACTCTTAGCGGATGAATCTGTTTTTTTTTTTTTTTTTTGTTGAAGTTCCCAGAAACTTTAGATTGTTAGAAGAGCTCGAAAGAGGTGAGAAAGGAATCGGAGATGGAACCGTGAGCTATGGAATGGATGACGCAGACGATATTTTGATGCAATCTTGGACTGGCACCATTATCGGACCTCATAATGTACGTTTCTTCTTCTTCCTCCATCTCTGTATCTTAACATCATCTATGGTAAATTGAATAAGATGCAGATCGTTTATGCATAACGGCAAAAATAGCTCTCACGGTTGCCTTAATTGTAAATGATCCTTACCTAAACAAGCATTTACTAATTTTGGTGAATGATTTGGTTCCAGTTTTAGCAACTAAGAAAGATTGATGTTTTTGCTTTTGATGAAATTCATCAGACTGCCTATGATGGGAAAATCTTCCAGCTGAAGCTCTTTTGTGGCAATGATTACCCGCAAAACCCACCTACCGTTAGGTTCCAGACGCGTATAAACATGGCTTGCGTCAACCCTGAAAATGGAGTGGTAAGCTGTAACAACAACATTACTTGATAAGGAGATTGTTAATATTATATTCAAACTATTCAGCTGCATACATATAGTTTTGCAATTGTTTTAACAAGCGGATGATGATGATCAGGTTGAACCGAGTCATTTCCCTATGCTCTCCAACTGGAGAAGAGAGTACACAATGGAAGATTTACTGATGCAGTTAAAAAAAGAAATGATGTCACCACAGAACCGCAAGTTATCTCAACCCTTGGAAGGTAAATTTTCTTCATTTTTTATAGAGTGATGATACGTTTGTATCTTGTTTTGAGACCTTTTTAACTGACAAAATAACTTCATACATTACCGGATTCTTAGCTTCTCTAATCGAAACTGAGTGTGTCTCATCAGTTAATGAGGAAGGGAGGACAGACCCAAAGGGAGTAGTGGTGAAATGTTGTGTGATGTGAAGGAAGTAAATGAGGAGTTTGTAAGAATTTAAGAGACAGAGAAGAAAAAAAAAAGTGTATATAAGCATCATTCTAAAACGCTTTGAGGTTGCCTGCATCAGAACCGTCTTCGTCTACAGGCCTTAATCTTACCATTTGATTATGTATTATGTAATATCCACCAAAACAAGGTGCCTTTCTTAATAAACCCCTTCTTCACCACTTTTATTTTTTGATCTAATATGTAATGAGTGTGGCCTAAATTGATGGGAAATGGGATACAATAGCGCATCAAAGTAAGAGCTTTTAGAGTGCATCCACATTAGGATTTGGGTCCGGCCTTTAGAGTGCATCCACCTTAGGGTTTTGGTCTGGCCTTGTCGTTGTTAACATTCTTCTAATTCTCGGAACTTTGGATTCTTTTGATGGCTTGCAATTGGTTCTTCAGATTTCACAACCTGTCAGAAGTGATCTTCAACTGCTCCACATTCATGGATTCAAATAATGAGGAACAGTTAGAAGGTATGACAGGTTGTAAGTCTGATGAACTATGTGCTAGCCATCAAAAGAATCCAAAATTTTGAGAATGAGAAGGATGTTGACAAAGACAAAGCTGGACCAAAACCCTAAGGTGGATGCACTCTGAAGGCCGGTGATATTGGATTCTTGGATTCTGATCATTACGAGTTTCGAGTCCAGAATATGTTGGTTGTACGAAAACAAGGTGCCTCTCTTAATAAACCTCTTCTTCATCAATATCTTTTTTTTTGCTCTATTATGTAATGAGTGACTGTGGCCCAAATTGAGGGAGAAAGGGGAACAAGAGCGCATCAAAGTAAGAGCCTTATAGCATAAAACCGATAAAGCAAAAGTTGGAGGGGTGGGAAAGCAACTTACATTCTCATTTTTGGCAGAATCATGAAAAATGATTGTTAAAAGCCATCGTGGATTTTTATGATATTGTAAATTCTTTTTTGTTTCTAGGAATAAATATATGAATAATAGTGTAAGAAGTAGGAGTACTAAAGTTTGTAAAATGTTAAAAAAAAAGAGTTTTGGATTATAATATGAAATGGAATGTTTTTGGTAGTTTGTAGAAGCAACGATCTTATACCAAGTGTGAACGTGGAGAGGAAGTTGAAGCGTTCTTTTCACCAGGACAAGACAATAGAGAGATCAAAGCATAAGGAATCTGTTACACTAAGCTTTTACGCAATGACGTTATAATTATTGCACTCTTCCAATGCGTGTGAATATTGATACCGTTTCTTAAAGTCTAACAATCCTTTAAAAAACTCCATTTAAAATAGTTTTTCTATTCAGATCAATTTTAGAAAAATACTACTAATAACTGATAATGAAGAAAATGACAAAATTATTTCACTTTTCTCAGTTTTGAATGACAAAATGTGTCTCAAATCTTCACTAAATCAGTTACCACATTCTTGCAACAAGAATTATTTGAATTTGAGTTACATATATCAGTCGTGGATAAGGATTTTGTCTATAGTTTTGTTACATACGTGACCAGTCGTGGATAGTTTGTGTAAAAGCGTAAACTATTATTCCCAAATATAACATTACAACTTACTATTCCTTATGCTTTGATCTCTCTCTTGTAACTCGCTATGGGTTTTTCGGAGTTTTTTTCACTTATACATTGGTACCATTCGATACCAATTTAACGTCAAACTATGATTTGATTCTTATACACATTGTCATATTTATAAATTAAGTATGAATAAAAAGAGTCAGAAAGTAACAACGTACGGTTACGTTTCTTGAGGGCTTTGTTTGTCTGCATACAAACGCACAGCTGACTCATCCACATTTGGTCAAGAACTTAATAATTTAAGCTTTAAGCTTTATAAAGAAACATAGAAAGCGACTACAAACAATAATATTTACCCTAAGAGACAACACACCTGTGTATACCCTTTAATAATTTATCTTTAAGAAATCACTTTTTTAGTCCATAATATTTCTCCACCATAGTGGCATCACCAATTTGATCTCTCCTTTGCCGATAAGTAATGTAAAGCACGAATTTAAAGCTATAAATAAACCTTGTAATTTCTAAGTGTTGCATTCTTCCGTTTTAAAACAGTCTAGACTAATATTTTTTGTTACAAAAATCAATGTAAATGCCGTCGGTTATGCAAGACGGACAAGACCTGGAAACTTTACAATTAATTAAACACATGAAAGGTACAATTATCGAATTCGAAGCGATAGATTAAAAAAAAATTAAGGTGATGCCAAAAAAACAAAATATAAAATATGGGAAAGCACATAGAGAGCTATGACTTTTAACAATTACTCCTTCCATTTTTAATTATATGATGTTTTAAGAGTTTCTTTTTGTTTTTAATTATAAGATGTTTTTAAAATTTAATGCAAAATTTGATGATAAGTGACTTTTTTTATCATTACATTAATTAATAAAAATTAAAACTTAATTAACAATAAATAAGATTAGAATAGATATTATACTAGATTTTTTTAATTTATGTGCAAAGTGCTAAAATATCTTATAAAAAAAACGGAGAGAGTAATTATTTTCTTAGCAACGAATAATGAAATTATTATTGGGAAAAAGAAACGCAAGTCAAATAAAAACTCAATGAGATATATAAATGGCTGTCTAAACGAAGGCAACGTGGTGCGTGAATGAGACCAATAATAAATGCTTGACGCTTCCCACTCATGCTCTGGTTATACGTATACAAATCATAAATAAATAAATACATACAGATCGAATCGAATCTTTGATTACATTATTATCATACACTATAACATAACAAACAGTTCTTTATTTGTTAAATCCAAAGATAAAATAAGCGTGTGTTTCGCCTTCTCTTTTCACTTTTGTTTTTTCGGTTACTTCTCTCTCTCTCTCTTTCAGCCATTTCCTTTTTGCTCTCTCTCTCTCTGATCATGGCTTCGTCCGTTTCCTCTACATCCACTGGTACACTTTTCTTACATTCTCCTTCTCAGTTTCATATCGGCAGTTACTAATTACGCATCAGTATCATAAAATCGATCTTTAAACGTTTTGGATGGTTTTTGTTTCAGCAGTGAAATTTGTTCCAGAAGAAGATAATTTCTTGCAGAGACATGTCGCCTTCTTCGACAGGAACAAAGATGGCATCGTTTATCCCTCGGAAACATATCAAGGTACGGTCTCGATATCTTAGTTCCACTAAAATGTCTTAATCAATCTTGGTGTATCTAAAAATAGATTTGTTTTAGAGATCTTTCGTATCCTGTACATGTGTGTGGTTCTTGTGACTCTTATCTGTTAATAATCAAAAGTAAAAGATCTAGTACTAATTTTTACTGTCGGATCACGACAAACAAAACAAAACAAGAACAGGATTTAGAGCAATCGGATGTGGATATCTCTTGTCGGCATTCGCTTCTTTGTTCATCAACATGGGTCTTAGCAGCAAAACTCGTCCGGTAACCTAAAAATTAATTATAATCTACATTTTGATACACTTCATTTCATTTTTTTTTTTTTTTGCTCAAGAATTATACCTTTTTTTTTGGTTGCTAAAGAATTTCATACTTTGTTACAAGAGAATAAATGAGGTGTTATGATTCGCAGGGCAAAGGTTTTTCGTTATCGTTTCCAATAGAGGTTAAGAATATCCATCTTGCCAAACATGGCAGCGATTCAGGCGTTTACGATAAAGATGGAAGGTATCTTCATTTTTCTTTTTAATTTTCCAATTCAACTACACATTTTTGTGAGAATTTTCTATTTAGTAGTTACCGATTTTGGTATTTATAGTATATATTTATATTAATTTCGTTTGTTTTCTTGTAAAATCTTGGAGGTTTGTGGAATCCAAGTTCGAGGAGATATTTGCGAAGCATTCAAAGACACATCCCGATGCGTTGACGAACGAGGAACTCAAACAGCTCCTCAACGCAAACAAAGAAGCTAATGATCGTAAAGGAGCGTAAGTATCCGAACCGGTTTGATTTAATTCGGTTTGAATTTGATTTCTCTACGATCAAAACCGAAAACGAGACCATGTGATACTGAATTATAATATTATGTGAATTTTTTAAAAATGCAGGATTGCATCATATACGGAGTGGAAAATACTGCATTATTTGTGTAAAGACAAGAATGGTTTGTTGCACAAAGAGACAGTGAGAGCTGTCTACGATGGTTCTCTTTTCGAAAGACTTGAGAAACAAAGAGCTTCTAAGAAACATCCATAAACACCCAATTTAAACAAACTCTTGTATGCTTGTGAATTTGTTTTTTTTATCAAAACTTTTATTACTTCAATGTTATAGTGAACAATGGTGTGAAGATTTCAATATGTTTGATTTCTAAAATTATGGGTTTTTCGTTTATTTGATCAATTGTGTACGTATCTATTTCCAATGAATAATTGATTATACTCAAATTAAAGTATCTCTTAATTTCCTACATTGTTTTGTGGTCACGAGAAGTATACTAATACATTTGATGATTGTGAGCTAAACCAGGTTAGTCCAATGGTTTTGGTTCAACAGATAAAAATGTTCTAAAGGATCGAAGCCCATATGACCTATTTGTTTTAGATAACAGGCCCGTCGGGGGCTTTTAATGTTGTTACTGTCTACAGTAAAATATTTATAAATTAATAATATTGAGACTTCAAAAATTTATTAATTTATAAAGTTATTAATTAATCGATAAATTAATAATTATTGATATATAAAAAAATTAATATTTTATTAATTTATAGAGATATTTCAGTTCAAATTCAAAATATTTATCAAAAAACAAAAAAAAAATATTTTCAATAATATATAATTTATTCAGAAAATATCATATCAGTGAATTTGAAAAATAAATCAAACAATTTTTATAAACTTGTACAATAATAGAATTATATTTTACTATACTATATTATTTATATATGTTTAAATATATAATTATTAATTTATCTAATTATTAGGACTATACTTTTATATAAGAGTTTCAAAAAAATTATTATTTTATTATCTTATAGAAATTTACTAATTTTTACACTGACCTGACTTGGGACCGGCAAAAATTATTAATTTATAGTAATTATTAATTTATCGAGTATTAATTTATAGAGGTTCTACTGTAGCTCTTAGATGGCTTCACCTTGCTTTGCTTAAAGTTGTCAATGTAGCCAAAGGTCACAAACATATTGCAGATGGGATGGGATGTATACAGCTTCTACGAAGCAAATGTCTTACCGCAATATTCACATTGCAGTTTGGGTGACATAATGTTTTCTGTAGACTTTGAACAAAGTAAACGAACAACAAAACATATGCACCTTGTCGGAAATCTAATAACATTAGAATGATACAACAAATATAAACTTAGAATATGAATAGAACTAAGCATGAAAACATGAAAATAGAAAAAGATGACACATGATCGGACATATATATGCTTATTTGTGGTGTCCATCTAGCATGTGTAAATGTTACATTATTTTAGGTCCCTTTTTGGTATAGAAAAAACTTTTGTTCAAAGGGATTGTAGATAGGGGGTGGATGAGTTTTTTAAAACCCTTTATTCCTCAAAATAATTAGATGCTGATAAATTGTGTCTTATCCATAACCAAAACCAATATACTTTCAGATATGGCACTGATTGGTTTCTGTAAACACTCCCTTTGTTATTTAATTACACTTTCAGAAATGTGATGGTCTCTTGCTCTAAAGATATGCTCGACTGGAGTATATATATCATACACTATTCTTACTTGTAAACAGATACAATCATTGATGCGTAAAAAGAGAAAAAGTGAAAATCATAATTACATCTGATTTTTTTTCTCAAACATATTCATGTGAAAAAAGGCAGACTTTGATAAGAAGAAAAGTAAAACAGAGGAAAATTGATCTTGTCATTTTTGTAATATAATTTTGATTATTTTCTTTTTAAACGGTTTTTGGTCAATCTCGGTTAATATGGGAATGAGCAGGTGCCGAGACTCGTGACCTCAACCATCTCATCACCACACGCGGGTTAACTTCTGCATTCTTGTTAATGGAATGTTTTTGTTGTTGTTCAATATTACCTCTAGCCTCGAAACTGAAATGAAATTTACAATGCAAACAAGACGGTCCTACTTATGCTTTGTAAGCATATGGACTGACTTAAATCAATCAATAGCCATATCAAAGTTCATTAAACTCGACAAAGTTTTATAGGACCGGTAGTATTAGTAATATATTATATTGGATGTCTCCACTGAATTCGATTTTGAAAGATTTCCACAAATTATCCAAGATACGTTTTTCTTTTGAAATTGACGAACGAGTCAACTGAATTAGGTTAATCTAAATTCAAGAAAAAGCAACGACTCAGCAATACGAATTTTTATTATTATTTTCAAGAAATGGACCAATGACTTATTACAAGTCAAGCACGAAATTACTCACCAAAATCCCTTAATATCTGCATTATTATAAGTCCTTCTAAATCTATACTTTTTAGATATCGAAATGATTACTGATAGCCAAGGAAAAACAAAACCTGTTTTATTAAGTACTAACTAATATTGTTAACATGTTACAAACTTTGTATACATCGTACAGCTTGGTCAGGGTAAACTTAAGAAATGTTCATATATTTAGATAAAGTTTCTTTTCTTTTTGGTAGGGGCCATGTTCGTTAGTGAAGAAAATGATACAACTTCTAATGTGCCTTATTCAAACTTTATCCAGTCTTTGTTTAGCTGTACTTTTCACTAATTATCCTTATTCTTCTTATGTTACGTGAAAATAAAACAATATTTTGAAAAAGTAATACGATTGATCAAACCCACCATGCAATCACCAGAACTTTCTGCTCTCAATTATGTCATCTTAATTAGTTGGTTATTACTTCAACCTCATAACTGAATCGAATAGATCCCTTATCGACAAAATGATGATTACGTTGTATTGTTACATTATTGCCATTGATTCATTAGTAATTAGTATCGTTCTAGTATCATAATTAAATGTTTCCTTAAACATCTCAAAACATAGTTCGCAGTCGGTATGAGTTGTAATGTTTGGTCGGACACTTGAACGATGAGATTAGTCATGTTACAGTCCCATTATTTTTTAAAAATATTTGGTCATGAACGGATTTTCAAGTCGAACCCAAGTCAGGTGTCATAGCGCAACATCAGCTCTAAATAACAAAGAAATGTAAATAATAGTACAATTACATGTACTTTACCAAAATACATTACTGAATTACATGTACATGTACATTAACATCAGAATAAGGTTCACCAGAAAAATGCTTTTCTAAGACTTAAATTAGAATATATTATACAACAATAAATTTTGTGTACATGCAGCAATGGATTCTTCCACACACACACAAAGAAAGTATACAAAACGTCTATATCAATCTATAGCCAAAGAAAAAGTCTATACAATCGATGGTGTTGTGGTTTTAAGAACTACACAAAAGTGGGTCAAATAACATTATTGTCTTCTATTCATTTACCGGCCCCGTAACTAAATTTTGACGTTGGAAGCTTGATATATAATTCTTTATCTCTTCTTTTCTTTTGTATGAATGTGAGTTTATTTTTGCAACGAAAGATTTTAGTTACAAAAGGTGCCTTTTGGTGGCTAGAACATGCTTCCATATACTGGCCCCAAAAACTGATCACATTTTATAAATAATTAAGAAATAGATGATACATCCCGACCAACACGCAATATCACTTTCCATATTATTAATTTTTATCTTCTTAAATCACTTTCAGGTACCATTGCCTATCCAAACTCTATACGCTATACTATATATAATAACCATAACTCGTTCTCATGACGTGTAGTCGTTCATTACTTAGTATTATTCATATTGTTTTTGTAACCAAGAACCACAATATGGTCATTGTATTATGTATATATATGATTCTATACATAATCCTAGAAGCTTCTTCCTATCCCTTTGACCCTTGCTAAAAACAAACTAGACCGAGGATATGAAACCGATTGAGAGAGAGAGAGAAGTCCAAGTGGCATGCAAATTTAACAAAAAATATATGCCAAGTAGTTAATTATATTTGTATCAATTTCGTGGAAATTCCACCAGTCTTACGCATCCAAACTCAACAGCATACCACCATAAAAAAAACATCCTGATTAATTAATTCGCCTTCTGAGTTAGTGGCTTATAGAAAGGGTAGTTAATTAGTAATAAGTTAATAACTGATAACTGTAGAAGCTAACGAATTCTTTCACTCAAAGTCATTACTGTCAATTTTAGCAAACAATAAAAAGAAAAGAAGTCACTACTGTCAAAGTCAAAATTTGAATCCAAATGAGTAAAATTATGTACTTGACATAAAGAAAATTGTAATGGACATTAATATAAACGCACATTGCCAAATTCCACACTAAAGCTCTAAAAATTCAAAATAATAAAGTCTGAAAGGAGGAAGAGTTGCCGTATTTTAGTAATATCGAATATGTATTTGCAAATTGTGGAAAGTCTCTTAATAACGTAACGTCACAAAATAAAAAACAAAAAAGCATGCAACATGGAAACTACATATAAGTTACTCCCTTCTTTACGTTAATTCTCTTTAAAGCAAGCCTTCGCTCTTCAACTTCTATTTTAACAGATCATACCTCTCCAATAAAACTCTTACCCTTTTATGTCACCAATCACATCAAACATGTTCAAAACAACGACGACCCTTCTCTGTTTTGTTCTCGCCGCCGTCATCCTAATGGACCTTACTTCCTCCACCGCCACAGACACCCCGACTCCCTCTACCGCCACAGAAACGTACATATTAGCAAAATGCTCTCCGGCCAAATTCTCTCCTGGCTCTGCCTACGAGACCAACCTCAACTCTCTCCTCTCATCCCTCGCCAGCTCCACCGTCCAAAGCCCCTACAAAAACCTCACGTTTCCCTCCGGCGGCGTAAAGCCCGAACCGGCCGTTACCGTCTACGGTCTTTTCCAGTGCCGCGGTGACCTAGACCAGACTTCTTGCTCCTCGTGCGTATCACGCGCCGTCGCACTGGTCGGAAACACATGTCCCAACGCATATTGCGGGTTCTTGCAGATGGAAAACTGTCAGGTCCGGTACGAGAATAGCTCCTTCTCTGGCGTTCAGGACAAAACGTTGATGCTCAACAGATGTGGACAGGCGATGGGATTCAACGACCAGGATGCGTTGACCAGAATCGGTGACGTCATCGGTTCTTTGGGTTCCGGAGATGGGCTCTACAGGACTGGTGGGAATGGGGATGTGAAGGGTGTGGCGCAGTGCACGGGGGATCTAAGCACAGCACAGTGTCAGGATTGCTTGACTGATGCAATCGGACGGCTCAGATCTGACTGTGGAATGGCTCAGGGTGGATACGTTTACTTGTCCAAGTGTTACGCGCGTTTCAGCGTTGCTGGTAGTCACGCGCGTCAGACTCCTCCATACCCAAACTTTGGTGAGCTTTCGTTTATTAATTTTGATGAAAAGGTCATTTAATCAAACAAAAGAATAAAAGAAACATCTCTTAATGTAAACGCCTCTCTAGTCAAATGCTGAATTATGAGAATTATTTGGATGGTGGACTATTTAAAGGTATAAATACTATAGACTTGACGTAGAAACTGTGAAAAATGTTAAATTAGAGTTGCATAATCTTAATATTTATTTATTGCTTATATGTGTGTTATTTAGCAGGAGGAGAGAAAGACGACAAAGATGATGACGGCATCGGAAAAATACTGGCGATAATAATTGGATTCATCACCTTTATCATCTTGCTCGTCGTGTTTCTCACTTTTCTTGGAAGGCGATGTAGAAATTTACAAGGTATTTTCTCTCTTTTTAATTCCAAACTTTTTTCTTTATTTATAGATACATAAACTAAATCTAAACTACTAAATGTCTATGTATTTGTAGATGAGAAATGGTGTAGTCATTGAAAGGATAAAATTGGGAAAGAGATCAACCAACAACTCGAGTCAAGCCACTACTAGTTGTATTTTTGTAATCTAATTTTTGGTTACCCGTTGCCTCATACGTTGTAGTTATATAGTATTTATATGATTATCTTTTCGACTCGAATTTTGTATTATTGTCGGACTTCTATTTGCCAAAACGATTTAAATGAAAAATAATTGACAGAAACCTCCTTCCTATATATATCTTCTATTTGGATATGAAGGCAGCATTCGATTTGGTATCTAGAAATTCCATTTCTTCTTTAATTAAGACATACGTGTATGCGTATACACACTTACACACACACATAATATGTTAAGATCAGTGAATGTGTCGAGGCTAATGGAACATAGTAAACCGAAAACTAGGATGAAGATTCCAAACAAAATCATTTCTCGTCCTATTGTGAATGTCTGTACGAATCTTTTCTTCTAAATCATCATTGTTTATTTTCATACTGTCTAAATAATTGAACTAAAGACTTTGTCCTAATGTGTGTTTAATCATTAAAAACGATAAATTACAATCGTAAGCTGATTACTAAATGTTTAATGAATTTGACGGACCAACTAACTTCTAACTCTTTCTCATATTTTGATTAGTCTTCTGAAACTGTAGTTGATAGATTGCACTATACCTTCTATTTTTTTTTGGTCAAACAATTGCACCAGCACTATAATTAGGTTCTACTTTTATAAATTACTAATAAATATATGACATATATGTATTTGAAAATCTCGTATAAAAGAGAAAAACATTCCAAAACTATATTTTAATACGGTATTCATATTAACATTATTATATATCAAAATTTCACGTGTTCATGATTACTCCTGATAGAATTCTTAAACGGTTTATGAAAAACTCAAAAGATGCGCCAAAAAAAGTGGAAAGCGCTCAAGTATGTTGGGCCGAAAACATACAAGTGAACCTTAGATAAGCATAATGAACCTACTTCAGCCCATTGAGCACCTTGATGGTGGGCCTGATGGGCTATTCGTGATATAAAAGAGTCTCGCCACATCATTTATTTCTTGTTGTCGAATATTCAATATTGTAGTATTACTTTTCAAAGAAAAAAATGATGTGATAAAAATATCAAACCGTTGCATCAGAAAAGGAACCACACATTTCACATGTGCGCGTGTTCACGGATAAAAATCCAATATAGCCACTAATTCACCTCTATTTCTATTTTAAAAAAAAAAAACAAATTAAATTAGACACACCGACAGATGTCTACGATCCTCAGAAAGCAAAAAAATCAAAAAGTAAAAAACACGTGGGAATTAACCGGGTTAACTGGTAACAGCAACCGTTTTCTCCCGGTGAAAAAAGCCCCACATGGTTTTTAATCAAGCAAGCCTTTAAAAAACCGGAGAAGCAACGCGTTTATAAACTAAGCCCTCTCCAAAAGTGTGTCTGCAACATTACCAAAACGAAACCTTCCCTGTGGATTCCCACTACTTTGTTCTGTCTTTTCTTTGTTTAATTTAGATGTTTGTGAACAAACGAACTTTTTTTTTTTATCTGAGCTTTGATTAATTCTTTGAGATGGAAAGAGATTTTCTGGGTTTGAGCGACAAGCAGTATATGAGTAACGTTAAGCACGAGGTTGACGATGATGGTGTCGGAGAACGAGGTTTGTGTTCTTCTTGTCTCTCTACGAGGCTTTAGTAGAAAATACAAATTAGGAGCTTAAGTGAATATATTATCCTCCAAAAGTGGTTGTTTTAAATATAGAATCCAAAACCTTTTTAAAAAATCATTAATAATATTCCATCAGATTATGCATACAAGTGAGGATTGGAATCTTATAAAGTAGTCATAAATGAGTAATTTCATTTCAATGACAAAAAAATTGTATAATTCAGGTTTGAGCAAGAAGGCAGCTAGACAATGGGGAAAGGCAAAGCTCTTACCTAATTCAAATTTCATGACTGCTGCTGCAGATTTCCAGGTTTGTTCTACTTATTTTAATCACTAGTTTGGTTACAGAATTTTCACTAATTTGAGAAAAATTCTTATTATATAAATCGACCGAGAATATAATTTTTATTTGTTTTTAATCTTGTGTGGCCGATCACTAACAGACAGACAATAAAAGTTGTGGTTGATAACTGCGAGACTCTTAAGAGCTTGTAGGGTTGTTATTTGTCTGATACCCGCGAATTTATAAAACAAGTAATTAAAAAAAAGTAAAATGTGGCGTTTGGCGTTTGGCATCTGGATAACGCTTATGTTGGTACATTTTATTAGAGACATCTAACTATAGAGTAAAATTAATGTAAAGATGTTGACGTCTCAGGAGACTAAAGCGTTTCGGGGGTCATACCAGTGGGGATCAGTTTCCGCGGCCAACGTTTTCCGCAGAGGCCAATTTAGCGGTGCGTTTCAGAACGCGAATCCGCTTTTACTTGGCGGATCAGTTCCATTGACAAATCATTCTTCTCTCCGTCCTGCCTTCAATTCTTCGGCGGATCCAAGGTAATTTGTATTCATTGTTAGTCTTTTCATACTATATTTTATTTCAAATGTCGTTTTAGAATTAAATGTTTGTTTATAAAAATATAACTTAACTAACAGTTGAAAAAAATAATTATAGACCTAATAAAATTAAATATAATAGAATTCCACAAGTCAACCTAACTTTGCACACAGGTTTGATAGAATATATAACTCTTTCTTCGTAAATTACATAAAAAGTGTCAAAACCACACGGTGAATTATTAAAATAGAGTTTTAATTTTTGGTTATGGGGTTTGTGGAACAGAGTGGTTTCCTTAGGATCATCTCCTCAGCTAACTATCTTCTATGGCGGAACTATTAGCGTCTTTAATGACATATCTCCAGATAAGGTAACTATTCATCACAGTTACATTTATAGTTCTACACATAACATGTTCTAATTAGGGTAATTAATGATGATGATCTTTTTGAGTAGGCTCAAGCCATCATGCTATGTGCCGGGAACGGTTTGGGAAACCCGAAAGGTGAAACTGGAGAGAGCAGCTTGAGGAAACCGGTTCGAGAAACTGAAAGAGTCTATGGAAAACAAATCCATAACGTTGTTGCTGCTGCAGCATCATCAAGCTCTGCCACTCACACTGATAGTTTCTCTAGGTGTATGGACAATCCCGTTGCTGCGACTAATGCAATGAACATGATCGAATCATTCAACGTAGGTCCTGGCAATATGATTCCTTCAGGTATTTCAACGAAACCAAATATACTAAAGATTTTTGTTTCCACACAAATCATATCTCTAAACACAAAAATTGCTTCTTGTTTTTTTTTTTTTTTTTTTTTCAGTTCCTCAAGCTCGTAAAGCATCGTTGGCTCGGTTCTTGGAGAAGCGTAAAGAGAGGTTTGATTCGTATGTTAGTTATAGAAACTTGAGTTCTTTGATCTGATGAGATGTTAAATCTAAAAGAACTGATGTTGGTGCAGGCTCATGAGTGCAATGCCATACAAGAAGATGCTTCTTGATTTGTCGACCGGAGAATCCACTGGAATGAATTACTCTTCTTCTTCACCTGCCTAAAACCTTATTTTCTTCTTCGTTTTTTAAACCTCTCGGAGGTTTTTCTTTTCTTTTTTACGATGGTAATTTGCAATATAATCATATTAGATTATTATTATAGGTACCATTTATTATGTTACGAGCAGGAGAAGGCGTTAGGCGTCTGTTGTATTTGAGCATTGTTGTTATATGCTTTTAAGTCTGTTATTGTAGGATTACTTTATTATCTCAAACACTAACAGATATATGTCATTCATGTCTGTCAAAAACATAAGACCGAATAAAAATCACTATTGCTATTAAGTTTTTCTTTCTGTTTTTATGTTCACTATTGTTCATAGTAAATGCTAATAAAATAGAAAACTAGTTTTACGTCGCTAGATTTATTGCTAATAAATTTATAAAAAAGCTCTTTGAGCATCTTGAAGAGGCTTGTCCAATCAATTTTGTAAGAAACATAAGATGATACTGTATTTCTTTTCATTTCAACCAAACAAAAAAAAGAACGATATTTTCACAAGTAAACAAATGTATAGTTTTATTGGTGTATTAGGGGAATCTTCTAAATGAAGTGCGTTTTAAAATGGAATTACAATCTGAAAGAAGAAACTAATTTACATGTACTTCCGAGGCTGATTACGAAATATAGATTCGCTTCACAATTGAAAAGATCTTTTAGATATTTTTTTAAAATTTATTGAGGAAGAAGAAAATCTCGTAGGAAAGTAATATTGTGGAAGGAGATCCATAGAAGCAAAAGTTTGGTAAGGAGGACAAAAAGAGAGCTAAACATGTAAATGCGTCACAGAAAACACGTTCCCGTTGATATAAGTGGATAAGAACGACCCTCGCCTTATCGATATGCACCTCTCTGTCTCTCTCATTTTCTTTACTCTTCTTGTCGTCTTTTCATGCCCCCACCAAGTTGCGCGAGATTTGAACTACTACTTTATTATTCAAAAGTTTTTTGTTTGGGCTAATCTAGTCGTCGGTTTGTTTCTGTGTTAGATTGTTTCATGCATGGACTAGTGGCTATGTCCATGTGTGCTTCTGTTTTTCTTTTAATGAACATCCATTGTTCAAGTTTTGTTGGTGACATTTGAATGACGTAGTTGTGATTTGTAACGGTGACATTTGAATGACGTAGTGCTAAACTGCTAAGGGGATTCAGGCGAATAAATTTCATGGTAAGTGGTAAATGGTAAAATTTTGGAAGAACATATATAGAAGAAGAATACACTAATTTCTCCAATTTTTTGTTGTTGTAAAATAGCAATCATTTGCACTTTGATGTGTAACTCGCTTAATTTCTCTCTTCTTAAAGTGTTATTAAAAACTAACTATTTTTTATTGTAACTTACCAACAATACATTCTCATTTCTTTCGGTTTTTATATCTCCACGTATATTCAGTTCTTCAAACGGTTTTATATACTTTTAATATTTTCTCACATTTTTTTTTGTTTGTTAAAACATTTTCTATTCTTCTCTTTGAAATCAGAAGTTTATGAGTTTTAATGAATCTTGAAACGCCAGTTAAAGTTAATGTTGTAGTTAGAGTTTATATATATATTTATATAGATTGACAATTTGGCCACATTGTTGTCCGAGAACGTAGCTTCCCCATATATATATTTGCATGACAACACACACAAAATTAAGGTACACGTCATTAACCAAAATTTAAACTAAGCTTGTATTAAGGTTTGTGTGAACATAAAAACTTGTTTTTTAAGCTTTGTCGTGGAAATGTCTTGTTCTCAAGACAACACACGGACATTAAGACTGGACCATTAATTAATATCCCACAATCAACAAAATAAACCAAAAACATACATGTCTTACGTTTCAAAATACAATTTTTTTGAGATAAACCCTGAATTTGGTTCTTCCTTTTACGGATTGTGATTCGAAAAGATATGTGTATCACTTTCAGCCACTAGTTATAATCATACAACTGATAGGTCTGCATAACTTTTAGAAAGAAAAACAATTTTGAATTTAGAATCAGGACGATCCTGAATTAACTTGGTTCCTACTAAAAAATATTAATGAATAACTCAATTTACGAAATATCACAAACTCAATTCCTATTAAATACTAGTATAATAGTTTCTAAAGATAGGTATTCTGTATTTTTTTCAGAAAAAAAAAAACTTAAACTTCGAAAATTAAATATCATATTGAACATAAAACAAGCGCTAACAAGAAAAAAAATTGAAAAAAAAAAACTATCAAAACCCACGTTAAGAAAAAAAAAATTACAATTTTTGTTTCTTTAGCTTTTCATTTCCTTAAATAAAATTATCCCATAACATACATTTCATCAATATAATTTTTTTTTTTTACTTTGATATATATACTTTTCTAACAACAATATCCCTAAATTTAAAAGCCCAAACGGCATCATCCCACCCACTATCCTAAAGGCTAGCCTGGCCCAAGCACATGCGATGCGATCTATGAAGAGATTTTAGTTTCAGGTAGTAAAAATATATAATTCAAGTTTTACTTTGGCTACTATCCTCTAATAATCCCGTTTCTAACATTTACGCAGAGTTAAATCCATTTTGAGGTGCCATTATTGTATCAGGAATTTAAGAAGATAGCTTTTCATTAGAAGGAGAAGATAAATTTGCATTGAGAAGTCATCATCACGGAAAAGAACAAATTCACAAACGCTAAGGTTCGAAACTACATTCCAGAGCACCTGGCAAGGAGAAAGTGTATATGCAGAGAAAATTTAGAATCTGCACTCTCAGTTGTGATGATCTTGAGAAGAAGAACGTAAACCTTGTCCATCTGAAAGTATAATGAGTATATGATCGAATCGTTTAATGCAAGTCCTCTAGGTGTAGGGTCAATCCCGTTGCTGCGAATAGTGCAATGCTCATCAGAGAAGTGTGCTATTTTAGTAAAGAATTGAAAAATAGTAATATCAATTAGTCAAGCTTTATACACATAAGTTCCTTAGATATCTAATAGAGATAACCTTGAATGGTCATCAACATGATTTAAAATTCAAAGAGATAATAACCTTGTTCGGCTGACTCAAAAATGGCCAGGAGAAAATTCAAGCTCATTCCTGAAAGCCCATTAATAATCATTTGCATGTAAAAATTGCTTAGGATTCTTTGCTCGTTGGGTTGGATAATTAATACGTGTTAAGGCTATATTTTGACAATGTCAAATTGGTCCAGCTGATAGTGAGTCGGTGGGTTCTTGTGGGACTCCACCAAGCATACAAAGCTAGATGTGTTAGCTTACCGGTTCGTTCTCATCCTAGTGTTAGGAGGATTCAAGAAGTACTTTCCAAGGTTAGAGCTTTGGGGTCATCTTCGTTAGAGTCGAGGATAATGGTCCAAGACGGTCTCTCTAGTCTCACCGAGCTTCATAGGTGCTTAAGTGAAGATTTGTTCAAGTCTTCTTCTGGCACCCGAGAAGATCTTCTCAATAGTGACTCGATGGATGATCTTCTTGAAGTGTCTTTGAAGTATTTAGATGTTTGTAGAGGACATTTTGGCACAGTTTCAGCCAAATAAACTAGTTTCGTGGAGGAGATCTTCTCAATGGTGGCTCGATGGATGATCTTCTTGAAGTGTCTCTGAAGCATTTTAGACGTTCGTGGAGGAGATTTAGACACTTTAAGAAGATCATCCATCGAGCCACCAGAAGATCCTAGTATTTAAGCCAAATATGGTCCTAGTTTCACTCAAATAAACTAGTTATTTCAAAATTATCAAGATTTGCCTGTTTATTTGGCTGAAACTAGTTTTTTCCACATAAACAAGAACTTGATATTCACATTGGCATAATGAACTAGAATATTCACATTGGACCATTGGTTTAACAATGTGAATCACCAAATCATAATTTTAACATTTTTTACTAATTTAAATAAAAATGTGAAAATTTTATATACTATTAAAATCAAATATAATTTGTTAGGTTAGTCTTTCAGAAATAAGATTTATAAGCTTAAAATAAAAGTAGAAATTCATAAAAATGATGGGTGTCAAAAGTTATTTTGATATTCTAGAGCTAAATTTTAAGAATGTATATTTTTTAGTTTGATTCACACAATTATTACATGAAATTTAGTAACTCACTTGTCATACAATATATATTTAATCTCCTTTATCAGAGATCATAATTTTTTTAGATCGTAATTTATAGTTTTGGAACAGGAAAACATACACAATGACAACTTATTCCAAAACATAATTTTTTGCATGGTGGCTTACAAAAGCCAAATCTTAACTTTTTAACCGGCACCAATGAAACTTTAAGATATAAGGGAGAAGTTTCTTCATGTAACATACGTTTCGCCTCAACAATTTAAAATGTTATCGATATCATCACTACAATACAAAATGTAATAATTAATATAAGTAATATAATCTAATTGTTCAGTGGATCATAGATATAATGTTAACTGGATACATATTTAGATAGATGTATGTTTATAGCTAAAAATTTGAGTTTTACATATTATATAAAATAAATATAAAAACATTGAACTTACCGGTAAAAGCTTAAAACACGATGAAAGCAGATTTCAATAAAAAAATTTCCATCACTGTAGAAATTTGTATTTTATTTTTTCTATAACTTTGTAGAATTACCTCAATTTATATTAATCCGGATAATGTACAATAATGTTTTATAGATTAGAGAAGTATGCTATTTTAGTAAATAATAATAAATAGTAATATCAATATTCTATACATGGTAAACATAATCTTATTTTTTAAAATATTATACGTTTCGCCTCAATTAATCAAAATTTATACTTGTCATTTTCTAAAATATTGGATAACCTTGAATCGTGAGCAACATGATCTTAAAAACAAAGGAATAACCTTAAAAATATAGAGAGCCTAATATTTGTTCTGCTGACTCAAATAGGTCCAGGAAAAAATTCAAGCTCATTCTAGAATTCCCATTGTATAATCATTGAATCGGACATATCCATAAGATTTAACTATAGAGTGCTTATGATTCTTTGGTCGTTGGATTGGAAATGACATAAAAATATGAGTGGGGAGATTCATAAAAAAACTGTCAGAGTTATTTTGACTTTGCATGACTAAATTTCAAAAATGTATATTTTATTAGTTTGATTTACACAAGAAATTCAGTAGCGAACTTGTGGGACAATAATTTTTATTCACTAGTGATTGTAATTTTTATTATATTTTGGAGGACATACGCAATAACAATTTGTTGCAAAACATAATTCATGACATGGTTTTTCACACCAAGACCAGGATTCCCTTAATGTAGTAACCGGTGCGAATGTAGTTTGCGCGAAAGCCAGGATCTTTCAGAAAATGAATTCCTATTCGAAGAGTGCATAACCGCATGGATAAGCTCAAACTAACCCAATCTTCCGCTGTTCCTCAGTAGCTCAGTGGTAGAGCATTTACATTCTGAATTCTTTAATTCGGAATGAATCAAATCTCCCCAAGTAGGATTCGAACCTACGACCAATCAGTTAACAGCCAACCGCTCTACCACTAAGCTACTGAGGAACAGCAGGAGATTAGATCTCATAGAATTCAATTCCCGAATCAAAGTGAGAAGTTTCTTCAGGTAACATACGTTTTACCTAAACAATTTGACTTGTTGCCAATATCATCACTACAACACAAATGTAGTACATATAACTAACATAATCTAATTGTTTAATAGATCAAAAATATAATTTTAACTAGATACATATTTAAATAAATATTATACACATTAAATTTATCAGTAAAAGTTAAAAGAACGAGAAAAGCATATCTTGATGAAATATTCTCCATTAGTGTAGAAAATTGTGTTTTAATTTTCTTATAACTTTATAGAAGTAGATGAAAGAAATGTATATTAATTTAGACAATGTATTATGACGTTTTTATAGATCAGAGAAGTGTGCTATTATAGTAAAAAATCAAAATATCAATTAGTCAAGATTTATACAAATAAATTCCTTATGTAGTAGTGGTGGATCTAGAATATTTTTAATGAGGGCAATGAGGTGGTTCGAAGAAGGGAAAAAGAGAGAACAGAAGTTCAGTATTATAACTTATTTAATTAATTAGTTTTAGATTAAATCTATTATTTGCTATTATATTATAGTAAAGAATCAAAATATTAATTAGACAAGATTTATACACATAAGTTCCTTAGGTAGTCAGTTGTGGATCTAGAATATATTTTTAGTGGGAGCAAAAAAAATGAGGTGGTTCGAAGAAGGAAAAAAGAAAGAGCTTTGGGAGAAAAGGCTTCTGGCTAACACAGGATGCTCCTCGGTTCTCAAAGCCTATTAGAAGCCTGTTGCAGCTAAAGCATTTGTTAACGGACCTTATGCGTTGTACGGTTGGCAACGGTGAAAGAGCTTCTTTGTGGTTCGACATCTGGAATGATATGGGTCAGCTAATCACTGAAATTGGAACTGGCGGCCCACGACAGCTGCAAATCCCCATAGGAGCAACAGTTAAGGAAGCCACTCGGGATGGGAGCTGGAATCTGCCGGCAGCGAGGTCGGAAGAGGCTGAGACCCTGCAAGTAGTGCTATCAACGATCAATCCTCCTCACGAATCTAGGGGGAATGATATCTATCTCTGGCGGAATGCTTCGGGATTGTTTGTCCCTGAATTCTCCTCCAAAGTTACTTGGAACTGGTTGAGAAACAGATCTCCTGTCGTAAATTGGAGTTCTTTGATCTGGTTTAAAGAAGCAATTCCGCCATGCTATTTTATTGGTTGGTCGGCGCTATTGGAGAGACTGCCGACTAAGGACAGACTAGCTCGGTGGGGCATTAACGTGCAGGGGGAGTGTGTTTTCTGCTTGCAATCACTAGAGACACACAACCATCTGTTTTTTGATTGCCCCTTCACATCGCCTACTTGGGGTGCTCTCTCGGCGGGGTTTGGTACTCAAACAAGCACGTCCCTTCCTGCTTTATCGGTGGCCATTCAGAATGACCAGTCTTTCTCCGGCACCGCGAAAGGAGGGGTCTTCAGATTACTTCTCCAGGTAACCATCTACATTCTTTGGAAGGAACGCAATGGACGGATTTTCTCCTCCACATCCTGCTCGGTCTCCGCCATCAAAGCCGCTATAGATCGAACTATGAGGGATCGCCTCCTCTCCGTAACTGGGGCAACTGCAAGTTCCCCCTCTCTACTCGAGGTCTACTTCCTCATGGTTCTTTAGTGTTGGTGTTGGTGTGTGTTTTCTCCTTTCCTCCTCTCTCTTGTAATAAGTTGTTCAACAACAACATTGTATTATCAGGTTCAATATAAATCTTAACATTATACCAAAAAAAAAAGGAAAAAAGAATATTGATTTTCGGTTTACACATTTTGAAAAATTAAGCGGTGAGAGCAGTTTTTTTAATTTTCAATGGTGATAGAAATTATTTTTCTTAATAAAAAAAGTTTTTGAGTGGTGGCAACTCTTACTTGGATAACGTGGATTCGCCCTTGACAATGAGCATGAGCGAATCATTTAATGGAGGTCCTAGAAATATGATTCCTTCAGGTATATACATCTGTGAAACCAAATGTATTCAAGATTTTCATTCCATAAATTATTATTTTTTAAAACTCAAAGTGTTGTTTGTTTTTAGTTCCTCAAGCTCGTAAAGCGTTCCGCTGGCTAGGTTCTTGGGGAATCGCAAAGAAAGGTTGGATTCGTATGTTCGTTATAGAAACCTGGGTTTTTTTGTGTGTTAAAGGGTAGATTTTAACGTAGCATTAGATCAAAAAAAAAAAAAACAGATACGATAAAATCTAAAAGAATTGATGTTGCTGTAGCCGTTTCTCCGTATCTCTACTATTCCTCATGCCGTTTCCGTGTAAAATTTGTTATTACTTAAAATATAAAAAAGTTGGGGATATCCGAACTATTTCGGGGTTTTGAACCCGACGTGAATCGAACACGCAACCTTCTGATCTGGAGTCAGACGCGCTACCATTGCGCCACGGATCCCGATGTTTAATTACAGCATGCAACATTATATAAAGGCAAACATACATGGTCGAATAAATTGTCAACACGATTTGAAACTGAGGAATTTGGTTTTAGGTATCACCACCAATTGCTACTTGATACGAACGAGAGAGGCTGTTAATTACAACTGAGTCCTTTGATTTGTATAATATATATTTGGTACTGATGAAACATACAAACGAGAGGCTGTTAATTACAACTGCATCCCTTGATGTGTATAATAGATATATTGGTACTGATGAAACATTTTAAGCATAAACATACCCATAGAGGAGTGCGTTGTTGCAAACGGCGTTGGATTTCTGTGCTTTGATTCATAGTTTTTTTTCTTTCTTCTTTTGTATTATGAATTCGGTTTAATGATCCTATCAGATGTATTTCTAGCGAGTGGTCACTTGTATATTATAAAGATTGCATAAAAACAATTTAAGTGACGACTGCGACAATATATTTAATTTCACACCGCAATAACTCTTTTTCTCTTCTTCACTAATTACGGGCTTACAATACAATTGGTTAATTAAGTAGAAAATAAAGAGTGACCGATAACATAAAAATAATTAAAAGGTTTTAGGGTGGCCTAAAGTTTCCCAGCACACCTCTAAAAGGAGAGAGCGAGAGAGAGTAACTAATACGACCTTTCCTCATCATCGCCAAGAAGAATGGGTCGAAAAGTAACCGAGAAGCCCAACGAGTGGTGCATTGATGTAAGTCGTGGGCTCTGACTCCACAAAGTAAGGTCTCGAGTCAGGAAAAGCATCGGTGACATTGGGCCCACCGACTACAGCACCGACTAGAAGGTTTGGGTTAGGATTTGGGCTGAGGAAATAACGAGAGCCTTCCTTGCAGCCTATACGGGCTGGATGGGCCGAGACCGAAGGAACCGAGCTGCCACGGTGGTGAATCCTACGTGGAAACCTTTGACCGTACCCAACCATGTAAGACATTCCCATCGGGTTGTCTCCCAATATGTAATCCACCTGTTCATGTGTGTCACAAACACAAAACGGCTATGTGTAAAAAGTTTGGTCCCAAAAGGCAAAACGGCTATGTGTTTTGTTTTTTTTGGTGCAAAACGGTGAGAATTTTTTATTGGGACCATTCATTACCTGACGCTTGGCGATTTGGCGGAGGAGAGATGGGGAGGCAGTTAATTCGCCACAAGGCACAACCTTTTTGGCATGGCTCAGATAATTAGAGTAAGCCAATAGGAGGAAGGATAGTGATGTTACATGTTGCATGTTACTCCCTCCAGTCTTCACAAGCAGCCCTCCTGTGTGTATGTGTGTAAGACAAAATCAGGATTTACTACTTATCATCACCATCAATTTTAACAATTTGTATCAGAAAAATACATAAATTTTTAAAAGCTATTTTTGGAGGAAAAGACAAAAGTGAATCACGTGAAGTGGGAAAAAAAAGTAGGATAATGCTTTGATATTGGGGAAAAATATGAAAATAAACCTCGAGAGTATTGGACTTGAGGGTGAGATATTCCAGGCAATATAGAACAGATAAATCCATCAGCGTTTTGCTTGAAAGACTCAAAATACTCTGCTTTTCCCATTAGCACTTCCTGTTCACAAAAGAAAAGAAAACACTTCGTTTAAACACATTGCATATCTACTACATATATGAAATCACGGTTTTGGGATATGGAGATGTACAAAGATAAATGAACAAGAAAGGATCAAAGGATGGGCAGTGTGAATAATGAAACAAAAAAAAACAGAGAGCGCCATGTGAAACAAAGAAGGTGAAATAGCATTGACATATCCCTTTCCCAAGCAAAAACAGACCGTTGAGAAATGACAAAACGAAAAAACCACTTAAGCTTTTGCAGCAGAATGGGAACTGGTAAGGACATGACACTTTATTTTTATTTTTTTCCTCAGCCTTTGTGCCACATGCTTTGTGGCAGTAACCAAAGACTTCTTTACCCTTCCCTCTTTTATTGTCCCCACTTGCACCCTATAGGCCTTGAAGACTGATAATAGGTAATAATAATGTTGGTCTAACTATATTCATAAAATTAAGAAACCTTAGTTTTTAAATACTCTATCCAAAACCACAAATACGAGCTATATACCACATGCAAACTCCTTCCAACAGGAAAAGGGCACAAAGTCACATACTGTATACATACATTTCATCTACCTACAATGGACCATCAAGTATATTATATCTAGATTTATATTGATGCAGACTTTTTATCCATTCACTAGTCATGGCTCATGGGGCCATGTGAGGCTCTGGCTTCCATTTGATATTATTAAAATTATATGATGCCAAATCTAGGGAGCATATTGAGAGCACGCAATGGACAAAAAGAAAAAAATAGGGAATGTCCAATGAGGTATGTCTTACCATAAGATTTAGCTCCCACATCACATGACCATTTCTAATTGGCTATTTCTCATTTTCCATCATGTGCAAGGTACAATTTAATATCCCATATAATTTTCTATGTAAGCACGAACCTAGCATGCCTTTTATCAACATCTATATCTCAAACAAAAGACTCGGTATTGGTTCACACATCTATAAGCCGGTTTATTCAAACATTGATGAAAACATACTTATGGAATACCAAATTAACTAGATAGGACCCAAAACTGTATAATGTGAACCCCACTTCCAATTATATGATCAAAAGTCGTGCCACAAGCACGTGATAACCAGACACACCATCCATCTCTCTACCTATGTTAATTTAATTCTTAATACATTAGTAGTCCCCTAGCAACCAAACAAACATAGAAGAAAAAAAACACCACTCTTTCCGTTAAAACCTTTCTAATTTCACACCAAATCTTGCACTCTTGATCTACATTAATGGTTTTGATAAAAGAAATTGAGATGATAATTGAATAAATTAGATGTAATTAAAGTGTGTTTACCTTGGAGATTAAGACATTAATCCCAGCATGCTTATTATCCCAACCAAACTCATTAATGGTATCTCCAGCCCTGAGAACCACCTCGTTCTTCACAATGAATTCTCTGTACGCTCGTTTCCTCGAGGCTTTGTGCAGCCACGCCGCACCCCACAGTAACTCGTCCTGCACATGGTCAAAATCACTGTTACCATCCAACGGCTGATACCAAAATAAGTAAAAATACCAAGTTGAGGTTAACTGTTACTTTTTACCTGGTAACCGTTGAAATCACAGTAAAAAGGACACACCGCGTGGTAAAGACTGTTACTGTACGCGCCGCGATATCTGTTGGCAAACGCGAATACCTGCGCCACGTTACGTGTGTTATCACAAATAGTCTCATCTTTTTTTCTTCCTTCAATCCAAATCATAGTTTTCACATCCGTGAATTTGATATATCTTCTCTAACGTCAGTAATTATTCATTCAACCGTACATATACGTAACAAAAATCCCCGAAAAAAGAAGTCAATCTTATTTAATTTCGGTTAAATCATTTAAAAAAAAAATCGAATCACAGAAATGGGCCAACTATCAGCGAGAAAAAGTACTGAAGAAAACATTATTGAAGAAGAGAGAATCTCTTATCTCACAAGCAAAGAATAATCGATTAATTGAACTTTTGACTATTTAGCCATTTATCATTATTTTTAAAAAAATAATAATTAATAAATGTGGAAAACTGAAAATTTGCTTTAACGGCCTATACTCTTCACAGTATCAAGATTATTAAAAATCAACTACCAAAAAATCAATGAAAGAGAGAGTAAATGCTAAGAACAGAGGAAACGGCACACGCGTAAGTATACACTCATAACCAAAAGAAAGCGAAGGAGAATTTTCCAGTTCGTGATAGTAACGTACCCTTGTGGCACGGTCAAGCAGCCGCCTAGAGTAAGCAGGATCGCGTTTCCTGAACACGATCGAAGCTGCGGCCAAAGCGGCTGCGGTTTCTCCCGCGACGTCGGATCCGGGATGAGCTCTGTCGATTTTGTAGACGGTGCGAAGTGTGTCCATGTCCTCGGGTCTCTCCCAGCAGTTGTGGTCGGAGTAAGCGTCGCCGACCTGGACGAAAACTACGCCGGGAATCGCCGTCGCCTTTAGGAGATAGTCAGTTCCCCACCTCACGGCTTTCACGGCGTTTTTAAGCTCCGGTCCCATGGTTTTCCCGAAATCGATTATGCTCCAGGACAGCATTGTCGTCGTGAACGCCATCGGGAACCCGAACTTCACGTTGTCTCCGGCGTCGTAGTAACCTCCAGATAAATCCACCTGAAACAAAAAAAAAGAAGTTAGAAAAGCGAAATCAGGGGAAGATGTCACCGGAAAACAGAAATTAAAGTCGAAATGAAGACTCACGCCGGCGGAAGAGCCGTCGCGCAATGCTGAGTCACGGCGCCATCGGAGGCGTTGATCGGGAGGAAGCTTGCCGGAACGCTGACCTTCGAAGAACATAATGCTTTTGCGGAGAGCGTCGCGGTAGTCGTGACCGGCGTGAATCGCTGGTGAAGAGAGGAGCACGAGGAGCAAAATCAGGGAGAGAATCGACGGAGAGAATTCCGGGGAAATTAGGGATTTTCGCGCCATTCTCTCTCTCTGTTTTCTTCTTTTTGGTTCTGTTAGGGAAGCGAGAGAGAGAGAGAGACTGTGTTGATAGGACCAACGAAGGGCTCTTTATACTAAAAAGGTCCTCTTGGATTCCAGACAAAGAGCCAATGAGTGATCTCCACGTGGATCTTTTCTAGTGGACGCAGCTCCATGTTAGATTGGTTATGGGGAGGTTTGGATTCCGAGGCTAAATTCGCTTGACCGGGTCAGGACCGGATTATCGGGTCGGGTTTAAATCCCGGGTTTAGGGTTTGTGGGCGTTAGTTAATGCAGACGGTGTGTACGCCGTCGGTACGGTGAGAGAATCCAAAAAAGTGGAAATCTGTGAAGTGAATTATGAAAAAAGACAAAAAAAAGTTTGCTTTTTTTTTTGTTGCGGGTTTTTTTTACCATGTGACCCACCGCCCTATTGTCACGCGACACGTGTTGTGATTACAATTAGGTGTTTTGGAGTTTTGTGATTAATTTTGGTTTGCTTTACTCTTTTTCACCAAGGCATAATCAGTAAATCACTATTGATTTTTTTTTCATTGAGTTTCCCATTAATTCAGGCTTTTTTGGACCTACACAAATAGAAAAAAGATGATCCCAGCCATGAATTTATTAACATTTGTTCTATTACTCGATTTCAATAGCAATTTTGCAAAAAAGTTGTGGTTGTAAATTTGTAATTACGGAACCTCTTAAAACTCGATGTATATAGTAACGTAATAAATTTTAGCTAACATCCAATTTTTCGTCGATTTGCAATCTGTAATCCACTTTAGTCATGTGGTGTGTATTTTGGATTTTGGACAAGACATATCGCATTTACTAGTTGATTCTGGGAGATGAAATTATTATATAGTTTTTCTTACAAAAGTTTATTATATTCTTCGTCATTTTTACAGAAATGCCATTCAGTTGATAATACGTATATACATTTAATTGTTATTCTCTGTGGTTATATTAAAATTCATTTAAGAAAGTCTTATTGTTCAGAACATTAATCAATCAGTTATTTTCAGAGAGGTACAAGACAATGCTGCATTGGTGCTTAAGAAACAAACAAGATCTCACCATTGGAGTCAAAAAGAGTTTTTTCTACAAACATAAAGAAAACAAGAACATTATATCAATCATCTAAGCACCTTATAAATAACTTTTACATTTGTGTTTTTTTTTTGTTCAACCTACATTTGTGTTTTAGAGCTAACATGATTTACCGCATAGATGTTATATGATTAAGAGATGAACTGTGAGTTTAGTGTTATCATTTTCTTTTACCAGATGAGGGAGTCACCTACAAAAATAATTAAATGAGAAAATAGAATTCTTTGAGAATCGATGAAAATAAATTTTTGTAAAAAAAAATCAAAACAGCCTCGTGCATGGCACATGACACCTTCTAATCATTAGGCAGTACTAAACATTATACAATTGCTAACAACTCCAAATTAATTGTCGTGATAATTAATGAGATAGCTGGACATTCAGAATCATTAACATGAATTATCAAAGAATGAACAAAAAAAAAAAAAAAAAAGCAAAGCGACATATGTCCGCACATATTGATGAATAAATCATTTATCTTTATCCAATTCAAATGTCCGAATAGTACGCTTAATCACGCGAGGCTGTTTAAATGAAATTATGTTTGCAAACAAACAAAAAACATGCGAGGCCATAACCCTCCTTATTCGACGCCGTTTCGCAGGGACGAACAAAAAAAAAAAAAACAAAACCAAACGATCGTGAAATCAAAGACTGTTAAAACTTGAAAGGCATCATGAAAATTCTTAAAATTTCGAAATAGAAAACAAAAATATTCCTTTTGGATTTGTGCTATGGTTTTTTTTTTGTTCCTTTCTGAATAGTGAAATTGTATTTTTTCCTTAAAAGTGTATGTGTTAATTAAAATTCCAATAATTATTGTGTGTACGAAAAATGATTACGGGGGTTGACTAATAAATATGCTTATATACATTGATGTATTCAGCTGACGCATGTGATCATCTTCGCTGTATTCGCCACGTAAATTTTTTGAAGTCTTTTTTTCAATACTCTCGCCAAAATTAGTTTTCTTTTCTCAAAGCAAAATTATTTCGCCAAATAAAAAGAAGAGAAACAAAAGGACGACTAAGAAAAGAACAAAAGAAAAAGGAAGTAACAAGGAGATCATGATATACGGTGATGTCATTAAATCCGCCACGAATTTAGGCCGATTGATTAGTATCGTTGGGGCCATATTACCGTAGATAATCAATGCGTTAATTAATCAGCCACACCATTTATGTATTTGGCATAGTCGACGTCGGTTTACGTGGCAGCGTATGGATATAACGTCAACATTTGGGTTATAATAGTATCTACAATGACATAGGTAAAAAATTAAGCATTCGGTGTATATGTTTGGAGATTCAATATGTTGATGGAAATTTTAGGGGACATTGTTGTTTTACATATCCTAAGGGTTTATATATAGAGCTACAACTACTCAATGAGATTTTTTATTTAATTTTATATAGTCGTTGATAGTGTATAGATGGATCGTTTCGTAAATATAAGCTTAAATGAAATATAAGATTATCGAAGGAATGGAATCAAAATCATTGTATAATATAAGTTGATTGCTCTATATACTGATGGGTTGGATCAAATCAAACAATATCAAGATAGAAAGTGATTTAAAGCGCACAGTGTTGGAATTAAAATAATTGACGATTTAAAATCATGCATGACAGTAAAAGTAGTTTTGTGACTGAATAAAATATCATGATGTGTTTTAGTTTAGATCTTCTTTTATGTGGTGATTAGAGGAGTATACAAGGAGATTTATATCGTAGGGTGTATAAACTCTGTCTAGTTGTCGTTTTTTTCACACAAAAAAACTATCTTAGTTCGTAAATTTGGTGCGACTAACATCTTTATAATACGTTATTAGAACAATTGCATGCATGAATCATGATAGATATGTCAATGACAATGATTTTGTTTCTCGCATTTTTGGGAGGAATGTACGACGCATTCGCATGATCGCATCGCATGGAAATTACCATTCTGATTAAGTGATTAAGGATCCCCGATGGTTCAAAGCCCGCATTTAGTTCTAATTAAGCTTATATTAAAAGATGACCCGCATAAATCAAAATTCGAAGCCGACATTTAACAATGCAATTAGATATTTGTTCCTTGTGTGTTTGGATGATTGAATCCAATTTAAAATCAAAAGCTTATATAGATTGAAATACATAATTCCGATTTTCGAGTGCATAAGTTATTAGTATTGAAATTTTTAGTTGCCTTATCATGTTAAAACTTTTTTTTTGTCAACAAACTCCATATATTAAATTAAAGTATACCAGTTTAGTGGGGCTCGTTACGAGTCAACCAGGTCGATTCATTATGATTTACCTGGGAAAAAGAAATATCTCGTGCTTTTGCCTCTTTAGCAAGAGCATCGGCACAGACATTCTGAGTACGCGGGATAAAAAATAAACTAAAAGACTTGAAACCTATCCGCAGAAATTCTAGGAAGTTTAACTCCGAAGAAAAGGCTGGCCAATCAGTTGGTTCTTCAACCATCCTGATCAGATCCGAGCAGTCCGTCTCGATCCTAGCAGTAGTGTAACCCCACTCTCTTAGGCAGGATAACGCCCAGAAGAAGCCTTCAAACTCTGCATGAAGGGGTGACAAGCTCCTCTGGTATCTCTTCATGCCATATGTACGATGGCCCCCTTCTTCTTCAAGGCACCACCCTAAGCCACTAGCTGTCCCTTGCTCAATCCAGGACGCATCAATCTGGCAGGTTGAGACATGGGGGAGCAAGGGGTTGATACTCAATAAGCCTGGCCGCGAGGCCTCGTCTACTTCTTCTTCTTCTCCTTCTTCTTCTTCTTCTTTCTCCTTTTGCTTTGCCATTTTCCATCTCTCCACCTCCAGACGTGCTAGTTGGAAGGTTTCCGCCTAAAAAAAACTTTTTTTTTTTTGACATCTATCATGTTAAAACTTAAAAGTATGAAATCTTGATAAAGAACAAGACGTGTTTTCATGCATGCAGGCCATTTCAAAATTCTTCATATGATAAGTTTTAAAATTCGGCCCATTAAACATGCATGCAGGCCATTTCAAAAATATATACAGTTCATATTTTTGTAATGATTTCAGATTAATATTTTTAAAATAACATGACTTCAAAAAATCTTATAAATCTAAACCTAGAGAGGTCCTAGACTCTAAAGAAAAGCTCATCAATCCATACACTACATTACACAATGATAGTAGTAACAATGATGAGAGTTTTTCTTCTACTTCTCTTCTCCTCCCTTCTCCCACCAATCCTCACCGTTGATCCCCCACTCCCATCATCCGATTCCGACGGCTCAGATTTCATCCGTACGAGCTGCAACACGACACTCTTCCCTGACCTCTGCTTCTCCACTCTCTCCTCCTTTGCTAACTCCATCCACAATGACTCGAACCGCCTCGCACGCATAGCCATCTCTCTCACTCTCTCTAACGCTCTCCACCTTGCTTCCTACCTCCAAAACGCTTACGGCGAGTGCGTTGACCGCGGTTGTGGTGGTGGGTCCATCAACACAACAACCGTTACGGTCCTCAAAGACTGCTTCGAGAATCTTAAGGATGCGGTCGCTGAGATGAGAGGTTCGATGAAAGAGATGAAGGAGCTTGTCTCCACGGGCTCGGTCCAGTCGTTTAGGTTCCAGATGAGTAATGTCAAGACTTGGCTTAGCGCAGCTCTCACTTACGAGTATACTTGCACGGACGGGTTCGAAGATCTTCACGATGATGGTTCCATCAAAGACGACGTATGCTCGCGAGTCGATCACCTCAAGAAGCTGACTAGCAATGCGCTTGCTTTAGTTAATCTTTACGCGGACAAGGCAATACCTTGAACGAATATATATCATTCATCGATTAAAGTCTTTCTTTTTCTTGAAAAAATGAAGTTCTATATAAATAAACGTATTAATAAAAAC